AGGGCAGACCGCTTTGACAGCGAGGAATTACTAGGCGAAGGAGGAGGAAACACCCATGACACATGTCCCGTCAAGAGTGAGCCCTGTGGAGACTGAATATATTTTCAGTTTTTTCTGTAAGTGTTGCACAAACATTTTAGGCATTTTGAATGACTTCCATATGGTGCTCAAGCGTTCCATTTAGTGAGGAGCAAGTTAAATGGAAGGCATATTCCATTTTTGTGCATGTGTTATCTCGGTGAGATTTGCCTGTAAGGCAGTAGAACGTGGAATAGTAGATTGCCTCTAGAGAGACATAATTTTACTGCTTCAATGAAAGAATCATTGAAGTCGCAGTGATTTTATGGGGAGGTGGAGGCACGCAAGCACTCCTGGTACCCTTCAGCAGGCTTAAAATGTTGTCCACTCTTTGCTTTATAGTGTGCGATTTACCTTGAGCAAGTTGGGTGTAATGAGAGGAGATGCACGCAATTACATGCGCAAATGCCAATCTTGGCGTTAATGTTCACGTCGACAGGCGCAAATTCTAGCACAACGAGTGGGTCACGCCAGCTACGCATCAAATGCGTCGATTTTCGATGCGGATTTTGTCTGTAAGCTTTGAGGCTCTTCTCTCCATCTTAGGCGGTGATCCTTCATTTCATGGGCACTGGCTCCCATCTGTCGACCATTCGAGTCATACCCCCTCACGTTGGCCATTCACGATCTTCAAGACTGCCTGAGGCACCGTGATGGTAGGGGTGGTGGTGGCGGCAGTGGTAAATGGACTCATCACACCAGACTCTGCCTCCCGACACCCCACAAAGCTAATTAAAACAAAAGTTTTTGCAAAAAGCGTCTTCCATTTCCATAAAAGGGACCAAATCCTCAATGGGTGCTAAGTTGATGTGAAAACTCTCATCATCCCCAAGTCCAAACCAATTCGTACCAAAAGAGGTGTTAAAAGATATCGGATTTGATTCAATGCTGCAGAGCTGAGGGCAGAAATCAAGGACACATTAATATGACTTAGCCGAAGTCACAAAAACGCCATAAAAACCTAGTAATACGTCTTCTTCCATCGATGTGAAATAGATTACTGCGGAGTGTAAGTCTTACCATTGCCACGCAATAAGGTTGGAATGGTTACACACAGTCGGGTGAAGTTATCAAACTTGTGCAATTATAGTAAGCAATATTCTTCAACTTCTTGTCTAGTGCTTCGTTTTTTATAACTATAGGCTGAGCTTCTTTGCTGATTAAATTTTGACTGACTTACTGAGCGATCAAAAGTTCTTTTGAGGGTCGAGTGTTTGTATTCTTTTCCCTTGGCATCCGTCAAGTACTGCCAAGGCAGGCAACACAGACTTGGTGTGGAGTGCAATGTGGATGAGATCATTTACGAAGGAATGCCCATGCTCTGCCACTCTGGTGGGTGGAGAGGCGAGGAGGGAGCGAAGGCATTGACTCAATCCATTACCCCTCCTTGCATCACGTGTCTTCCTTTTTAACAATTACATGACCACGGGCAAAATCGGCTGGTTGTTTCAAATCTATTATCAACATGTTCACCAAGGCAGAGTTGACTTTTGACACTCAAATGTAAGGCTTTGCATAAAAGTAACAATCAGTATCGACTTGCATTGTCTATTGGGAAGACCCCGGTGGTTGATCTCAGTTTTGTGCCACTTACCTGTCAACCCCAAGCATCATTACTTACTGAAGGTCATTTCAGTCTACGGTAGGAGAAACCTTACATCGTTTTGGAGGTTATTTTAGCTAAGCCTCTCAGACGTTATCGTTTACAGACCCTTCATCCTACCTTGCGATTTACATTGAGACGAGTCTTGAGAGAATCATCCCGAAAGTTTACCAAAAGCCTACCTTTCACCCCGTGTTAGGATGCCTCTTTTGTAGAAAAAGAATAGTTTCCTTTCACCTCCACTCGCTGCGGTTACCGAATTGCACATGAAGGGAATATGGTGAACAAAAGTGGCCACTGTTGGACATAATATGTGGGGTTAGCTCTGAGTCCACCTTGTTAGCTAACAAATTTCTGAACCAAGTGGCTAACATATCGTAAAAAAACTCGGATGTTCTATCGGCAGTTACTGGGAAATGTGCTCTTCTCGCAAAGTAAGTGTTTACCCGTTGTTTGGAGATCTCATGCGATCATTATTCCCACGTCTCGCATTATTTTGAATGGTCTTAACCTCACACCCTCTATTTGTACTCTTGAATTGCAAGGCCCCTCCAAAATGGACGACAGGTAAACTCTGATGAGGACTTAGCATGGAGTTTGGTGTTACACTTTCAACAGATCTCCAAGGCGGAAAACAATAAAAATTGAATTTACTGCCTAGTTGGAGTCAATTTAATGTCAGACACAATCACCTTTTCTCCTCCCCTCCAGTCCCCTTTAGCTGTGTGCGCTTTGCGATGTTAAGTTTGCGCTTGCTTACGATTCCCTACGTCAACTGTACGGCCTACAGCCCATCGGTACGATCAGTTACCTGAAACAGAGAGGCGGCGGTTGCGGATGACCGAAGGCTTGGAGAGAATTAACAAATTGTCTTAAATTAAAACCTTCCATCAGCAATTGACGATAAGTGTGTCTGTAATAGATTTAGTGGGTAGAGCAAAGTGAGAGGCAACGCGGTTGTTCATTTTCCATAAATGGCTTCTAAGGCGTCATCCACTATGCGGGTCTAGAGTACATGCGTTTGATAATGCGTGGACTTTAATCCTTCCAGGTCATGCTAGTGGTACTTTGCAGCCCCTGTAGACGCCACAAGACAGTGCAATACAGTCCCTATGATAGCGCTTGGAAATTTGCACGTTTAATTCCCATACAGTTTCAATTAAAGTTGCGTTCTTCGCCTTTTACTCCCGGCATTCGGCGTGCCTTTGAAAGTTTACTGAACCAGATTCTGTAACAAATATGAATCTCTTGTGTTTAATTGGCCTTTATTATTTTCCAAAAGTTGGTGCAAAATTTGGTGTTGCAACTGTTGTTCGAGGCTTGAAGGGCAAATAAATGATAACAGAGAAGTCAAATGTTACATTGCAAACACACCAGTCGATGCTGATGATCACTTGGAAAGGGCGTAATGGGCGTGTGTGACGTTAGCAAGAAAGGAGAGGAGTTGGCTCCTGCAGGCGATGAGCTAGTCTATTACACACCCAACAAAAAGGGCTTGGACATAGAGTTGTTGATGTGATACGCTGGGGACAACATTTGCACCAGTACAGTGACTATTTGTGACGTATGCAGGCAGATATGACGACACAGTTTTAAAGTGAAAGCAAAGCGAAAACAACATGACCATCAACGCTTTTTTCCAAAACCCAGCTGTAAAGTTGGTGTCCCAACAATTGCTAATGAGCGCTTGAGACAACCAAGAGGAGCGAAAATCTTGATCCAGTACATAGAGGAATCGGTAGCATTTCATTCAAAGGGCATCCGGGTTGGATACAGACCCGATAAAACGGGACAGTTGTTTTTTGGCTGGTTTCCTTAAAATAACTGACTGCATCACGGTAGCCGTTAAATAGGCGGACCAGGAAGATAGTGTTCGGAAGGGTAGAAGAGCTGCGTGCTTCGAAAATGCATATTCTTTCATGGTATTATATCTATTTGGCCCTTTGCGGAAACCCAAACGGGAACTTCTTGTTCTCGCGAACTAAATTGTGTAGTCCAAAACTACTAGCAAAATATTTTCCGTAGGTTTCGAGCAAGAAAATAGGCAAGAATAGAAAAATCTTGGATTTCACCTCGTCAAATGACGATAAAATAGGTGGACTTGAATGCTGTAGTCACACGATCACCTGATTCCGATCATTCGGACTTACAGAATCAGTTGAAACCAGCTTACCCACATGTTTGCATTAGCCATCTTCCTAGTAGACTTTTTAACAAATTCCAACATGAATGATGGTGTTGTTTTCAACGACGTTGCATCGACTTCGAAAGGTCGTGCTCGTGTTCCCCTTTGCGCTAGGAACGCGATGGGTTGAGCCAGTTTGAAAACAGGCGTGCTACTGATGGCTACGGTAATGCGCCCATTTCCAGTGCATTAAGGTATCTACGTAATCCGCAGAACGGGGTGCTTCCGCTCGTTAAGGCTCTTCGAGCAAATGCTATAGCAAATGGTTGTTATTCGTGATTGACAGTGGTGTGCGGAATGGTAGACTCTCATAATTTCGTATGATTTGAAGGTGTTAATGGACAACAAAATAGTGGAAACTGCATCGAAATCAAAACATCAGTTAATTTTTGTCAATGATAGGTGCTATTCTAAGATGCCTTTTATTTTGCTCAACTTTGGGTCTAAATCACACGATCATTTGAACACTTCTGGTCAGTAATATGGCCTCAGAACCGTGTAAATGAAGTTTAACAATGTCCCAATAATAGTGTCTCTACGATTTTACCATGATCTATTAAAACGTAAGCAATGGGTTAAAGGGAAGTCTAGGATCTCAGTTCTGTAATAAGCTTTGTGGGATCCTCAGAAGATGCCAACTTTTGAACGGTTTTATTTAATGTTTTGTTAAAAAACTACACGGATAAAGAGGGTGAAGAGTGCCGCGTCTCAGGACTTCCCATGGAGTGGAAGAGTGCAGTAAGTGAGGCTGGATACATGTATTTCGAAGTGAACAGAGCAAATGGACATGATCATGGCCCGAAGGCCAGCCCACGAGTACAAGAGCAAGACAAACCCTAGGGTGATCGCCGAACGTCATGTAGTCACAAGCAAAACATTACAAAGAGAGGTACGAGTACAGCCGTAGGAATCCGGACGTGTCTTCCACGGTCTCCTGAAGTACCATTTTCAGATTACAAGCCCTATTCCCCACCTACCATAAACAGTTAAGCACGCGACATGAATTGCACAAGGTGTAACAAGTTTCTTTTCGGCTGTCGGCAACAGTGACGTTTAATCAAGTGGCAAAGGCATTTGTTTTAGCCACACGAGCATTCATTAAGTGTAATCACCCAATAATTTTTTTTAAAATAGTTAAACAAGCACCTCGATGTCATTGCTTACAACTCCGTTAGTCATGCTGATAGAGCTGCACTATTTCCAAATATGTCTACTGAACATTTTCACACAAACGTGAGTCCATAACACAATAGCAGTTTTATGGCTTAAATGCTGAAAATTCAAGAGTTTCTTCTTTAAAAATTTAGTGAGCAGTTTGATTGGAGTCGAAGGTCATCACGAAGTAATTCCGTGTGCATATCTCCGAGACTAAATGGTGGATGGTCATTCTGATGGTGTGCGGCAGTCATTTGAGTTCTTACTTTATGAAATAATCAAATATTTCACGAACCAGACGAAGCACGTATGGTGTATACAATAACTCAATTTTAACAGCTTTCTGATGGACACGCTACGGCTATGCATCTGATTGAAAATATGGGATACTCTATAGGCCAACGGTCCATTGAAAGGTTTTTTTTCTGACAAAATCAGTTAGTATCCAGGTTGACCAAAAGTAGTCCTCGATTCACATCGGAGATAGAAATTGTCAAGTTTATCTGCAGGGGATTTTGGTCACACCTTTTTCAGAAGGATATAAATACACTGAAAACAAATAATACCGTAAGGAAGTCGAACCTTCATTCTTTAGGATGTGTATGTGCTTATTGATGCTGATTTTCCGTATCTTACCCGAATCGAGCCAAGTCAACTCTACAATCCGAACGTTGAGATGGTATGTCCATGTTCTTACCCTGATTTTGTAGATTCTGGCCTTCGCTTGCGGACTGCTGAGGGGTGGTTTGTCAAGTCTCGGTGTTAGTTGCATTGTAAATGCAGAAATACCAGAGATTCCAACTTGTAATTTCCCAGTCTACTGTTAACTGACACCCTTTGCTTGATAGGTCACTTCACTGTTCGAGTGTCACCTCGTTCAAAAACGTTTGGGCTGTGAGACAGGAAAGTGTGTTTCGCCGATACAGGTTTTGCTTTCTTCATTCTTTCGATGTAAATATTGTTTCTTCTTTAATTTGCCATGGGATTTTAATTCGTATTGGTTATTAGATTTCTTGAATCTAACGCACAAGGGGGGATTATTCGGTAAATAGTTTGATGATTGCAAACTTAATCAACTCCATTGACGTCATCTTGAGGCGGAAGGGGCTGCTTAAAAAATCACTTGGTGCACATTGGATAAATCCTCTTATTCTGCTGCACTTTAGTCCCTTTCCGTTAGACATTTGAAAGGAACGCCTGGATTGACCTAATGGTTGCTTAGTATGGTGAATTTCCTACGTCCTGCTTGGCTTGTCTTCTGTGTCGGATGGCTGTTTGGGATGCTCCGTATCGATAAATAACGAACAAATTGGGGTTGGGGCGCACGAAAGTGTCCTAACATCGATTGCGTGGACGACTATACCTGCCTGGGGTACAAAGTTTGCCGGTTGTTATCATGGCATTAGTTAGCCTGGTTTGCTTTGGCGAGCCTGGCATTCCGAAGAAAATGGTGAATAAAGGCACAGAACAAACAATGCAGAGGTTGGATGAGTCGAATTGATGTACTAACAAAGTGGACGTAAAATCGTGCACGTTTGCGCAATACAGTCCAATTTTGCCACAAATCATTATGTATTTTAATCTTAATGAGTTTGTTGTGATTGTAGTCGTCAGAAGGCGAGAAACGAGAAAAGGTCCTTTAAAGGGCTTCATAGCTAAGTAGTAGCAATTCAACAACTAAAAGTTGTAACGCTGCTCGGTGTTCTCACTCTCCCCTTGAAACGTCTTGAGTTACATGAGCACTTGTGATCCAGATGAGTCCAGGTTGCCATGGCAATGGTGCGGATACAACTGTGGAATACCAGGACGATATACTTAGCCTATCTTCTGAGCTTCATTAGCCACGGAATAGCGAAACGTTGTAATTATATGACGGCGTGGTCACACAACAGTTTCTATAGTGGAACCTCGAATGGCACGGACACTCGATCGAAAATAATATGCCCTATTTTGTCTTACCTTCAATAATTGAATCCAGGAGAAGTGAAAATACTGAAACGAGCATTGCTAAAGGAGATATATGCTGTAGATGACTGTGTTTACGGAGGTATGCAGCAGAAGGATATCGAAGCCACATTCACCATTGACAGTCTTCTCCATAAAAACTTTCAATGAATGAAACGAAGGAAGGTGCAACTGATCCAACTATTCAGTCTGGAATATAGCGTGATATTTGCGCGACGATGTATGTAAGGCCTGTGCTAGCTATTCCCTCTCTATATATTTTCGAATCGGATGGAGCGCAGATTGGTGCTAAAGGAAGGAACAGATGCACAACACCGACTAGTAAAGCAGAGAGTTCTCTCATAGCCAATCACCCTTCCTCCTTGAGCCAAACAAGGCGGGCGCATTACTGCAATGCGAACAAAGCCCAGCTCCCCTGAGGTCGACCGGTTACGACGTTGAGGGCCTTGGAATCGTACGCTCGCTAGACTCACAAGAGCAAATAATCTGAATAACTTTATTTCGTGGTAGAGTCCACAGCAAGGACTGCATGTTGATAGTCGATATTTATACGATAAAGGCGAATACGAAGCCCAAATGCCCAATTCCTTTAAGTTGGAGTAACCGAGATTCAATGCCTATGCCATTCTAATTCTCTGACTGCCGACTGTAACGAAATATATCAAAAGGCAAAAGTACTGAATAGTTTTCTCCTTCCTTTTCTACAAGCATTTGCTAGGCAAAACCATTGTCATCAAAGCTTCATAAAGTTTCTTGACAACGACGCGGATAATTGAGGATCTTCGACATGATCTGGATTCGTAGTCAATGGAGCTCTTGGAAGATTCACACCGAGAAAGTTGACGCTTTATCAATATTTTTGCCACTTAAAGTACCAACATAATTTTAAGTCGCCTCAAAATAAAAATATGGTGAAATCTCTCGCTTATGGTTAAAACGTTCTATTGGAATACCTCTTCCATGCAGATGGGCCTTCTGAGGATACTCGTTTTGGCGGAACAAAACGCCATAGATCGATGAAGGGATTTCAAAGTTCTCGACATTACTGAAGCACAAAATGGCGGGTCCGATACGTGTCTTAGAGGCATGGACTGTTTTTCCAGCGAGGACAAGCGTCGCAATGACTACTTCCTTCGCATTATGCAACAACATGGCATTGAGAATCGCAGTGTGCACCGAATCCTTCTCATTGGCACGGGTGAATCGGGGAAATCGACATTTGTAAAGCAGCTCAAGCTGCTCAGTTCTCCTCATGGGACTTTTCCTGAAGCCTACCGATCCAAATTCTTAACTGAGATTCAGCGCAACATTATCCAGGCTCTGGCAAACATTTGCACGTTCATGATCGCAGAAGGCATTCCACTGGGAAATAGCCATTCAGAAGAGATGATGGACCTTCAGCGAAAAATAATCAAGATCCATGAGGAGGTAAGGATTAACCCAGATTCAGTAGCACATTACACAGTGGATGCAGATAGTGCAACTAGGGATAAGTTCTTTGATATGTGCGAAAGCCTCTGGTCTGATAAAGCTGTGCAAGCCACTCAGGAACGTGGAAACGAGTTCCAACAGATTGATAGTGCTGGATACTTCCTGGAAAAACTAAATGTACTTCGGCAACCTGATTATTTACCAAACGATAAGGATGTCCTCCAATGCAGAACGCGGACTCTTGGCATTCACACAGAGTCGCTTGTCTACAACGGCATTCCCTTCGAGCTGGTGGATGTTGGTGGACAGAGAGAACAGAGAGCAAAGTGGATTGAAGCAATGACAGACGGAGTAACAGCTGTCATATTTCTGACCGACGCCTCGGCATATGATACAATGTTGGAGGAAGATCACAGTGTGAATCGTCTACGAGAGTCCTATCAGTTGCTAGGTCAGGTTTGGACAAAAAGTCTGTTGAAGGATAAGTCTTTCATTCTATTTCTTAACAAGCAGGATAAGTTGGCTGACAAGGTGAGATCGGAAAAGAGTCCAATCATAAATTTTTTCCCTGAATACAAAAAAGGACAGGTGAAATTTACCATCACTTTTCTAAGTGAATTGTTAATACAGAAAAAGCGAAAGAAAGACGAAATGGAAGTATGGAAGAAGCACTTTTCCTATTTCCTTCCAGCTGCCTCAAATGCTGTTTTGGGGATGCAGAAGGAGAAGGAAGCTATGAGTATGGAAGAAATTATAATGGAAGAATATAACGAAGTACAGACAACTTTGAATAAGGTTCTCCATGGCGAGGCCGTAACAACCTGGCCTCTGACAGGGGATGTAAGAGATAGTACAATTGACACTCTAATGAATGACATTGAGTTTGTGCAACTTTTTCACAAACTCATGAGTGTGGCTCTGTATCGCACCGTCACTGTGACTCACTTCATTAAAACTCTCTTTTTAGCCCAGTGCGAGGAAACGAAAATGCGGAAAATCTATCCTTTTCCCACAACAGCGATCGATAAACGAAACGTCATCCGAGTATTTGACTCCTGCAAGGAAATCCTGCAAGGCAAAGCTCTGAGCGATATGATTGTACAGTAAAAATAGTTTCTAAATTCAATGATATTGTTAAACCATAAATGCAGCCAAAATGGCAAAGAAAACCCCGACTTTATACCCATTTCGATGCATGTTTAAGTTAGAGGTATCGAAAAAACAAGTAACGATTTTGGTGTTATGTGTTAGGAAATCAATTTGATTTTGCTTTTGAGTGTGGCTTTCGAAGAATTCCCATGCCGTAAAAGAAAGCGCAAGGCTTGCTGATTAAGCATGTTTAGAGAGAAAGGATAGAGACGAAGTTTTGACATAGTTATGCCAAGGTAATGTGGCCATCAAAGTGATCGCTACCCATACAAGCAGAACTACACAGAAAATTGTGGTAATGTTCCTCGAATGCAAAACTGATTAATATACCTAGGTGCTGATGTGGTGAATGGAGGTAAAGTATACAAAAACTGTCGGAATAAGTGGTTAAGAAGCAGTAAGTATGCAGCATAAGGTTTCATAAAACATTCTTCTGCACTATTAACGAGTTTGGCGTTATTGATTGGGAAAAGTCGCGTAACAGCATTAAATATAAGAGACACAGACTGATAGCATTGATGTCACAAAATTAAACAACACATGGATTGCTCGTTGAGCAGTACAACTTTTACAAGAGTGGCATTTCATCTAGTTGTGTTTGAGAGGATTGAGAATGGTCGCGGTCCGTTCGCAGTTAGGCTTGCCTTATGTGCGTTGATATATGTAGTCTTAGGCGCTTAGAATGGTTTTGCGTACATTCTTAATCCAAATATGCTGACGATTTTTATATTGCTGTATCAATTTTTGTCTCCTGCTTTCACTGTACATAGCTTATCTACATCTAACAGTACAAAACTTAACGCTAGCGCAGCATTATGTAAGTTACCAAGTTTTGTTAATTTTGATAGTATGTTTATCTTCCCTTAAACACTTCGTACGCTCAGGATCCGATATTTCACTCTCCTGTCCTCAAAATGGATTGGAACCTAGTGAAGGCTCTGCGCTTTGGTTGGCACCTTTCAATCACTCACTAAATTCAACAGACACGCCTAAATTTGATAATTTTGCCATGCATTCAGATCGTCTTGATATTTCTAATGTTTCAAGACGTCATGAGGGAAATTATTCTTGTTTTCGGAACGGGAGGTCGGCTGCTTCTTGCACACTCTTTGTTCTCGGTATGTTGACGGAACACATTATTTTCTTCTAGACATTCCTACTCTTCCAAACAACTTAAGCCTATCTGCCCTTAATCAATCTGCAATATTTTTACAATGGAAGAATGACAGACAAGTGCCAAAGTCTCTTTTTTATGAGGTTCAAGTTAAGGGGTATGTCTGTCGACTTTAACGTGATCCTTTTTCATTTAAGGCCTCAAAATAAAAGCGTAAATGTGTCAGCAAAGCAACAAGACCTAGTCGTCAATGGTTTGCGTCCCTATTCAAAGTATTTTGTTCGTTTCACTCCCGGTGACCAGGTAGGTCTCGGGCCAAATAGTTTCAATGGCGGTATCTGCACGAAACCCGGTACCCCTACGGCAGCGCCAAACATTACCCTCATCTCTTTCACCAACACTTCAGCCACTTTTAACTTCTCAGCCGGCGACATCACTCCTGTTAATGATAACATCTTTTCCTGCCCGGGATCCTACGAACCACCTGAACATCTCTTTGGCCCATTCCTTGGTTTTAAATTAGCTCTGGAGACGTTGTTCTTCAAAAGTGACATCACTTTCAAGTCACTCGACAATCGAACTGAGGTATTTGTTGTATACCATTATTACCATTATTTTTAAAGTCGCACACCATGGACAAACTGTCACCATACACATCTTATCGTGTGAATGTGTCCATTTTTAACGGTCGAACGTCTGGACCACCAGCTGTCCTTAATTTTACGACTCTGGAGGGTCTACCTGATCCACCGCTATTGCAAGTGGAATTTCGTTCCACAAACTCCTTTCAAATCAGCCTTATATCTTCGAATAAGCATGGGATCGTGTTGGGCTATCTCATCAAGGTTTGGATTACTTTGTATTCTTCAGTTTTATTTTCTGTGTAGTGGACAGAATGCAGCAATTCCTCTGCAGAGGCTTCAGCGGAGACGAAAGAGACGCACTATACCATACAGGGGCTCCGGAACGCCACTTGCTATCATATGCGCGCTGCTGCGAGGACCAGTGTTGGTTTGGGTGATTTTAGCCCTCTCACACCGGACTTTACGTCTTGTCCCGGTTGGTTTGTTCTCCAGAGCCTTCTACTTGACCTCTAACATTCTGGTTCCTTCCAATCTGAGAGTTGCTTCAAAAACTTGCAAGTTGGATGAGAGATTAGGGCTATGGGTATCAGAACTGGGTTTCTACGGCACTCTCACAGCGATCAGCTTACGATTCATTGAAACCGATTTTAAGACAGGATAAAGTAATAATGGCTTCACATCTACTTAATTGATCATTTGCCATAACCTTGGCTGACAAGCGTTCGTCAGGTGCCGTATTTAAGTTAGATTGATTTTCAGGAAGCCTGTTGCCTTTCGTCTTGAAGAAAATTGCACATCATCAAGAACCTTCGTGGAGTCGTGTCCCTTTTCATTCTGTTGTCATTTTGCTGCTTCCCAGCCGACTGTCGGCGCCATTTCCCGCTTATTTAAACTCGAAGAAGTATTGCATTTGCAGCGACCTTTTAGCCTACTGTCCTTACTAAAATATTGTGGACATTTTTGCAGGTTTCGATTTTTTTCGATTTCTGTTGTTCAGCTGGAATTAAGATTACGTCTAGTTGCGAAAATTCAAAACGATTTTAATAAGTATTTTGTTATATTCTTCTACAAATTCAGCTTCGAATAGCACCTTTTCTATAATCGTGCTGATGAAGTCTAAATTATTATCTTCCTATATCGCTGCCGATGTTAAATCTTGGTTTCTCCTTAATTATGTAACCCATATTTCTGCGGATTTGGTTGCGAGACTTAATTTCCGTCCTGCCGACCCAAGACCAAAAACCTAGTAGCTAATCGTGAGACTTTGTTATATATGTATAGACCTCCCTCCGCCTACGTTGTCCAACATCTCAGCCATGTCAGAAGGAATCAAGATTTCTTGGGTATACACCGATCCACCAGCTTCCCCAGATGGCAACTACTGGTTTTGGACATGTATGGAGTCCATGACCTCGAAAACCTGTGAAGAACTCATTTTCAATTCTACTTTTCGGCATGATGGCACTTTCTCGGTAAGTTGAGTCAAGAATCTTGCTAAGCTTTTTTTCCTCATGAATGGCTTTGTTTATCTTTGAAGTATGTCTTCCCATTCCATGATGTAAACCTTCTTGGGGGCCACGAAATCGTCCTGAATTTTACCGTGCGATCGATCTGTCGGCTCCGTGACTGTGAAGTTGATTGGCCCTGTAAGAAGCTCAGTAACATCTCCAATGTTCTTCAACTTGATCTAAACCGTAAGTATCTTTCATCGAATTCTCGTCTCTCCGTCCCCTTACTTATCTTCCCCCTCTAGGCCTAGCAGAAATGTTTTATCGACCGTCTGGATTCAGTGAGTTCAGTGACAAAGCCATCGGTGGGATTATTGGTGCCGTCTTCGCAATTTTTCTCATGCTCTGTTGCTTTGGGGCACTCTTCATTTTCTATTGGTAAGTCACTCAGTTAGCTTTTGTTGTCACTTAATTTTTTTATGATTGAAGTGTTGAATGTGTTGCGTCCCTCGGGTCCTGGGTGTAGTGACATCTGTTGCCTTGTTCTTTAATCCGCATTTCCTGTGTATTTGGGATTTAATTAGACAACCGTTATGTAGTGAATCTGTTACCAAAACTCATGTAGGCGTGGATTAGATCGTAGCTCCAAAAAGAGCTCTGGTAAGGTGTCGGATTCGCGTCTCCTAGGGGTAATTGGATCATCGGAAGAAGCAGTGTAAGATCGGAGTCTGGCTGCGCAACGTAATAAATAAAGTAATATCCGCTTTGGTTTGAAAAGGATGCTTGGCAGTTCTTGCAGTTGACGTCGAAAGAGTAGGTGGTAATAGCGATTATAAAACTTGGAACTTAGCTAAATACGTCCGGAAAAGATCTTTTAGCTCTGCCATTGGGCCATTCATCGCCCAATTTACTACTTTTTGACCACCGCAAATGCTCAACAACTCCATTTGAAGCTTTTTGGAAAAGGCATTTCCACTTCTATGTCTGATGTTTTCATCCCCTTTTTAAGAAGGACTTAACTGCATTCGTGCTAACATTTTAGCATATGCATTCTTCATTCTAGTTGTCTGATTTGATAAGCCATAGCTTCGAGATGCGTATGGTTATGGCCAACTGTTTGGAAAAGGCTTGAATTGGCCTACTAAGTGCACAGTCCACCACAAAGAAGAATTTGGTTTCGCCGAATCGGTACATTTCATGAATGATTTTTTACTGCGGCTTACCTCTATCTGGTTTCTTTGGCTTCGAGCCATAAAGAATGCACAATAGAATTGGTGATCCTGTCTATTTAATCCATATGGTTAATTTGAAGCGATGTAATACTTCTTAATGTCTGTGAACTTTGCTGTGTCGATATAGTGAATTTCACCACAACTGAAATGTCCAAACTGAAACTGTGGGAATTTCACCTTGTTTGATGTTGCTTAGTGTTCTTGTTGGGTAGGACAGTGCAGAAGCTGTGAACTTGACTTAGGACTCATTTGCTGGCGATTTTGGCGATTCCGCTCTTGATTTAAAGGCCATTACTGTTGATAAACTTTTTTAACTACGGATGCTAAACTAACTTACAATGTTTTTCTTCTCGATTATCCCACATTCCATTGTCTTAACTTCACGTAAAATACCTTCTTGGCATATTTGTACCTATTTTACTCTTTTTACCTTTCTTAATTTCGAGTTTGGTTTTACATGGCCTCAACGACTCTATTTAACCCCATTACCACCGTGCCTTTGTCGAATGCGTTCACGGTGCATGCGTAATGAATATGGGGTACGTTAGAGGCAATGATACGATCCAATCATTCGTGTGTAATTCAGTGGTATGGCAATCCACCATCATCTCCAACGCCAGTCTCACCAATCGTTTAAATTATTTTTCACTATCACAGTGACTCATTCAAGTGGCTTTCCAAAGGTTCTTCCAAGTCCATGGAGGCTTTCTTTTGATTGACAAGCCGCTGAATGCCTATTTATTTCAGAGGTGACCTTCGGAGCTGCCTTATATGAGTAAATCCTTTAGACTTGCCTTCTGCTCCCATACCCATGTCGTGTAATCTGCATTCCAGTGGCCGTTTTATAGACAAGATCCCGGCTTTTGAGATCCGCATACGCTATAGACATCTTGATGTCCCATCGCATTCTCAAGGGAACGTGTTCTAATTAAGCTTGTCACTTACAACTGGTAAATCCGTGGTGCCAAAGCTCGTGGGGCTATTCTAGTGCGAGATGATGTTTTCTTGCGAAATCTAGGGGGTCAGTGAAAGCAAGAAAGCCGCCCTGCTTGGTATTTTGACCGAGATCCACTTTTATGCTTCCACTACTTTGAGTTACTTTTATCGTCTGAATTATTCTTGACTGTTAGCAAGCTACAGCAATCTAAGAGTTTATTATCGACCCTTGGAAGGACCACAGGACTAGTGTCGAAGTGGTGGTGGATTCACTTAGCATCAACTTTGACCATGCTGTCGCGCGAACCTTCTCTTATAAATCGTTATTTTCCTGTTGCCGTAGTACCGACCCTAGTCTTCAATTTAGAATAACCGAAAGCAAGAGTTAGTACTTCAAATGTATCCAGCTGCCGATTTAACGGTTGGCGTTGTTTCGGAGCGTCTAAGGTGATCACTAGTTTTAGTGTAAACGGGTAAAGCTGCGTAGGTGGCGTGAAAAGTGGCTTTGTGTCATCAGCGTTAAAATCGGATGATGAGAACCGGAAATGTTTTGTGTACCTCAATATTATTTAGGCAAGACTTATTTCACTTATAACATTTGTGCCGTGGTCAGAAGCAACGTAATCACTAGGTAGAACTAGGAAAGCGTACTGGAGCAAATGCCTCTGTTTAAATCCAACAAGTGGGAGTCGTTCATCTTGAAGTTGCTTGGACATAGGATCGGTGGAGACGCGGTCCCGCAGGCATGGCGATTGGGTCATATTATAGTAATTTTACCACCAGAGCTCCGCAGCTTTAACAGATTTCAATAACCGTCTCAGCAGCGAGTACAGTACATCAAGGGTTTGTTCAGTTGGGTTTTAGTGTATTAATGCCCCTTTCTTTGACATGCCAAATGTTCACTTTGAATGTCATCTCTTGGTGCTTCAGTCGTTCCTCGCGGGTCTACAAGCGTCGCGGCGGCGGCAGTGGTGTAGGCAACGACTATGGTATGGGCTGTGGAGGTGGTGATCGACTGGACGACGCGCGTACCCCGCTGGTAGCACCGAAGATGCGTAGCTTTGAGGACAGCCCATATAAGCCCATTCCTGCCGAGCGACTGGCCCAGCATGTGGCAAGCTATCATGTGGACGATGATGCAGGTTATCAGGCGGAGTTTGAGGCAGGCGTTTATCTGCTTTTCTCTCTGAATGCGACTTTAATGTTTTTCTAGTTCGCTCTATTTCTTACAACCCTACTACACCTTTACCTTTGATTCATCATATTCTATCCTGCTGTTTCATAGTTATTTGGACGTCTTTTCATTATCCTCCTGCTCCTTTGACCAGCTGCGGTAAATCTATCTTAAGTCCATCGGGCCAAAAAATTCTATTCCTTCATCTTCCTGCCCTTTCAATTCCCGTATTTCAGTTCTCATTTAGTCACTGTTTTCCCCAACTTTTCAATCTGCTGCCCAACCGTGTGGTCTTTTCCAATGTCTACAGTACATTCGATTTTCTACGGTTCACATTTAAGGTCTGCACGTTCCCATCCATTTTTTCATCACTTTCCACCTCATCCTCCAGATATGCTTGTCAAAATTGTTGCATTAATCACTCGGTTATCTGAGATGATCAGCAAATAATCATCATTTCCCCACTTGCCTGTCTGCCAATTCGAAATTGTTTAGTCGAACCTTTGGTAGTCCATCAATTCCGTCGTTTAGCGCCACACTTATTAATGAATTTAATCCTTCATTCATCCACCGACTTGTTGCTACTTTTAGCACTTCAATATGGGCATTTTTTCCACTCTTGTCAAGGCAAAGGGAATCAATTCAGCGCTTTTAGGTTACTGCTTCTACTGCCTCCTTTTCCATCCTTCCAACTCTAACTGCCCATTCACCTATCAGTTGCTGATTGCGTTATCGTCCAAATTTTATGGTCGTGACGTCATCTCTTAAATATTATAATCTTTGATTCATCTGCCCAATTATCAGTCTATCCAGTTGTTCAATTTAGCATTCCTTATGCCCTTCTGGTTAGCAATTTGCCACTGTAAATGTTAGCCAAAGTTCTCTGCACAATCGACGCATTCAATATCTTACAAGTTCATCTTTCTTCCATGAACTCTAGCAATGCTTCATTCATCAATTTAACACCCCCTCCTTCTAACCTTCTTATGCTTACCTGCCCGTTCGCTTTCAACGGCAGTCACAATTGCTCCGCATCAACTCATACACGTAATTGGCGTTAAAATTTGAGACTTATGTATGTGCTCCTTCACGCTGTTATCCGCACCCAGAGCACTGTTATTGGACATTTGAAATCCTTATCTAGCTTTGTCAAAATTTCACAGGTTGGTTAGTTGTGAGCATTTTAGTCCTAAATTTAACAATTCTATTCCTCTTGGAAGTTTATTCATGTTGGCTGAAACGTACAGCTACTAATATTAAAGTTATGGCCAGGTCATTGGTCCTTATCGGTTCCATTTTTATTGGTTTAACGTCGCATGGTGTGCTTCTACTAGTGCCTTCACATCCAAGCCTCCTCCAAGTGCCTGGATGATGGGCAACAATCAAGATCAACAGAAGGCTGTGTGCAGTGAATATTAGGCGGAACTCTCCATATAACTCTATTTTAATTGACTTTCACCTCACTAAGTCGTAAATCCGTTAGTCCTCGTCATTTTTTCCCTGATAGCCCGCCTTTGATCTAAGATAACCACTGCTTGTTCCCACTGCATTGCTTCTCATTCCAAGCGGTTAAGTTAGAGGCAAAATATTATCATGGGGAGGATCTAATGTGTGCATTAGAAAGTCGAGATTCAAATTGCTTTGTCAGTATATCCACCTCCACATTCCATTGCTAGGCCATTGAGCAAAGTGTTCGCACCAGCTGGCCAACGTCAGTCGCTCGTCTGCCGGACAACATGACCAAGAATCGCTACACCAATGTCTTCCCATGTAAGTTGTTCTTTATACCCTTATGGAAAAGCAGACAGGGGAGGGATGTAATTAAGTCTACGGGTAGATATTGACATTTAAAGCCGAAGTTTTGTCCAGAATTGCTTTTTTCGTGTGACTCACTCATCGTGAGAGATTTGATAAAACTCGTCCTGAGATTGACCAGCTTGCGTAATTTGGTTGAGTTTGGGCTGGGAGGCGAAAACAAAGTGGCATGAGGTATGGCAAGCTTGCTGTGTTTGTGAATGTTCAGACCGTCTGGAGTTGATTACTGAATCACAAAGCTGGTTGGTTGTCATTATTCTAATGTTGGGTCTCGACCTTCATCACTTGAGACTCCTCCAAACTGTTAGGCTTTGGAAGGCAAGGATTAAGATCCCATCAATGTCTTTCTAAAGCAAATTAGATCTTTGGACACTTCACTTCCCTCACACCTCCTCATTGTCATTTTTTTCTGCTTTTTCGACTGTCAATATTCATCTGCAACCTTATTTGATTATGGAGGAACAAATCATTAGAGTGGATGATTTTTTGGTGGCTGATCAGAATCTCTCCATCTACTCGTTACGTTAACTGGTTTTGCATGGAGCTGTAGTATAAACTCCAAGATTAATCACATCCCCTGTCTGTGCCTTGATGGAGGCCTCACCCATTCACCAGCTAGCTAGTATTCCCCCTCATCTTGCATTCCCTTTGTTTACTCACCCACGTCAGTAGTAGAGACGTCTATACCGAGGGCATGTCTAATGATTATTTCGAAGTTGACCCTAAAGTGGTTCAAGGACGCCTGCACAGACTCCAACTTAGGGCAGGGCAGCGGATGCGACCTTCAATTTCACCAGTGCCCTTGTTCAGATAAACCAGTATTCCACCTTATATCCGAGCCAATGCTAAGCAAAGTGGTGGAGACAAACATCTGCCTTGCAAAAGCGCGCAATTGGTGGCTTCTTCTCTGGTACAGTTTACTTTCCATAGCTGCCTTCACCTGAGGGTGACAGTTTATGCCAAATGACGTGGGCACTCGAGGAGTGCCCACATGACACATTTAGGTGCAATCTATTGCCACTTACATCTTGTAAAGGCGAAGCAACTGTTTGAATGTATTCTCTTCAACTACCTCTTGAGAACTTGTTTAAATCGACCCTAAATACCTTTATAACTGGAAGGGGTTTGAGAAGCATCGTATTGCTTCAAAAGATGGGATTTAAACTTAGCCTTGCTCAAAGAAGCGGAGCAGTGTTTAATGCCCTACCGTGGACCAACGAATTCATTGCATTGGATGAGTGAGTGATTTGGTGTATGAATGCAAGGGCATACGTGTGATAGTTCTAGCTTTCCCACCGTGTTCAGGAGGGGGTAAGTAGTGCAATTCACGGCTTTGGGATGGAAAAATTACACTTCCTCGTTCATCAGATTATCTCTCCATCCTTCACACCATCAGGAGGATGGGATGGGAAGGATCCTGTCATATCCTAAGTGTCGAAGCTACTTCGGGGCACAACTCGTAAATGTTAGAGTTTGTGTTCGTTAACGTAGGTGAGAGAAAGCAAATTTTAAACGGTTTGTCTCACACGATGCGCTCAGAAGCTCAGTGCGATCCAAGGGCTGCTTTGCTGCCTAAATTTGAAGTCATTTTGTATGCTGCATACGCCACGTTCTGTCCTATTACCCTAGTTTATTTATTGGGATGTGTTTCCATTAGTAAAAACACAAAGCAAGACCAATTTCTAGGTAGGTTTTACAAATTAAACCTTTTGAATTCCTTACGCACCCGAATAATTCCTCTCTGTTTTCCTTCCTTCACGGTCTACGCTAACATTCAGATGATCACACACGAGTGATTCTGAAGAACGGACGGAAATCGGACTACATCAACGCGAATTACGTTGACGTAAGTAACTCGCTTGCTTCAAGCAGATGGTAGTTTGCACTCATATTTTCCCCTCATTTTTATCACAACTTCACTTCTCTGCATGCGCATCACGCATTTGTCTACCACCATACCCTCAAGTTTACTACAGCCTAACTTGGGTAGCGGATCCCCAGCGAATTGGAGAGCAGTACATTGTTTCCTATCTGCAGCGGAGTAATTTGAGTGGTTTTATTAATGAAAGGTGATTTGTCGAGAGACTAGGTACTTTTTAGGAAGTGTCAAGTCCTCTGTGAATGCTGAGTTGTGAACAAAACTCATTCGAATCTCTTGGTAGTGCAATCTTATGCAGGCATTTTATTTAGTCACTTCCATACTCCTTGCTTCTGAGCGATTGCATTTCTTTTGATTTGATTGGTTCCAGTTTTTTTGAGTAAATTCCGGCTTCTTCACGAGCCTTAGCAACCCTGACAAGTACCGGATTTCACTTGCCTTTTACCAGTTTTGTGGTCATATTACGTCACGTTTACCTCATGAACTTTGAATTTGCTCCATGTCAACTCCACTCCACTTCCTGATTCAGAGGAAACCAAAATAGCTGTCAACCTAGTGTTGTGATTTTACTGTTTCCTTTATCTTCTCGAATTCAACTTCCTGCTGGCCATCATGCACTTAGACACAAGTCTTATTCAGTCTACCAGTACGTGACACTGTCTTTTCCGAGGAGTAAAGATGTCAGACCGCTCATGTAATGCACTTTTACTTTTTAAAGTATGCTCCATAGGTCTGTTGCATTTTCTCTTTTTATAAGTGTTGGTTTTTGTGCTCAACCATTCTGGATCCGCTTGCTTCACACGAGTTTACTGGTATGAGGTGTGATGAATAGTGGACGATTGGTCCAGTCAAAAAACGCTCACTCACCTAAGTATGGACATAATGTTTTCTGTTTGCATCTCAAGACAGAAAAAATAAATTAGTGTAATCCCCTATTTCCTGACAATTCAATCGTCTTTGTCACATCACGGTCTTAGTGAGTTAACAAATTTGGATACGCGTTCTTTCTCCACCACCTTAGCCTTCAAATTCACCTGGATGTTTTCTAAGGGAAAGCTTTTCGCTTGATCACTGGACTGAGGAAAAGTCAGTCTTATCGGTTTTAACAAGTGATCCTTCGGATGTATTTTGGAAATAGTTTCGCCACATTTGAGAAGGGATGCACTAGGGGTTCGGAATTCGTTTTTATTCCGATAAAAGTTCTCCTTCACTGTAAAAGGGATATTTTGCAGAGACTTGGTCGGTCAGTCCGTTGGAACTATTGGTGATCTGATTGCTTTCGCAGTGTTCATTTAGTTGATCACGCTGATGTGTCATCGTGTTTAGAGTTTAGCATCAAAATCAACACAGACACCAGGAGCGCTGGCCCTTAGAATGCCCACGTTGGATCACAGCTTAAATGTTGCCTGTGTATTAAGAGAAGACATCCGCAACTTTCAAGAATGCTTATGCCTCGATTTCATGGACTTGTTTTATCGTTGCCCAGCTCTTAATTGTTTAGCATCACTTTAAATGCGTTACCAAACACTGTCAAAAGCCAAATTGACGGACAATAATTATGGCAAAATGGAACGTGCAATGTTCAGTCTTTCGGCGATGCAGGTGTGTGTAGTGGGGCTTTTGCCAATTTGGTATTCTGGTCAGGACTTGGGCATGAATGTGACTCTCACATCTCCAAAAGTTGTCTTAACACTCTAGAAGTAGTTGAACCCGAGAGGTACACAGTTTCGTTTTCACAGCTTCAGTCATCAAAGTGTCCGCACTATGGATGTTGTTGATGAAATCGCGGTCGCGTTGAATCGACAGTTTTAAGCAATATGAAGGCCTATTTAGCAGCATTCTTGTTTGACGGACGGGTTTATCTAGAAATTTATTCAAATATTATCTTGATGAGGCAGCGAAGTCATTGTGAAATTGCCTCAACAAAGGGTCGTTACCCATCACTGTGCGTTACGAAGGCTTAAAGTCTGATCTGCATGGGTTGAATCATCCTTGTGTACTAAAACCCCTTCTACCAGTCAAGCTCGTGCTCCAGCACTTGCTCTTGACAAAAGCAGGAATGTTTACTTTTTCACTCCCGATAATGCGGATGACTGAGGTGGACAGCGTCAATCGTAGCCATTTAAATCTAATACATCCACCAACAAGCAAGGAAAATAAGATCAAAACAAGCCCAAGAAACCTTGTAGTTTACAGAAAACACTTTTGAAACCAGGATACCTGGTCTTTAAACTTTCGTCTTTAGCTGTCCCAGTAGAGGCAGGCGGACATCGTCGTTTGGATGTCCTGTGGTGTCGATTATCAAATCACGTTTCCTGGTGGTCAGTTGGGTCTTTCAAGACAATTCAAGTGTTTTGTATGATATAACTTTTTGGAGCGTACTGCCCCACTATGGTTGTTCCCCATTTATTGACTTTGACTGGTTCACTCAACTGAATTTGGATCAAATGGCATGATATTCAAAATCGTTTCCCATTAATTTCTCATTTTCCTGAGGATCTATCATCTTTACACTCTACTTCCTCGAATCGACTACTACTTCTCCATTATCTCGTTACAATGTATGCCTTTGCAAAGTGCTTGGCAGTAACATCCGCTATTTCTTTTGTCATTGGAGAATTTCGTCAGAGGCCAAGGAAAACAGTTTACCAAATGAAAGTGCTACCAATTTTGCTATCAACACATTCGCAAACGTTTTCTGCTGTTGAACCTCCGATTTTATGGACTATCCAAGGAGTTTGTTGAAACTTTTAATTGTGCACGATAAGATGGGGCAGCTGATTTTTTACTGTCACTATCACCTCAGAATCGGCGTGGTGGTGGTTACTGGGTCGAACAACATTTATCCGAAGTGTCTACACACCTGATTATCTACTGAAACACGATCGGTGAATTGGTAGATAAGTTTCAGCAATTACTAGAAGGTCTCTTCTAAAGAACGCCCTATTGGAATGTTCTACATATTACTTTCATCTGTGATCTGTTGTGCTTATTGGCAGGAAAAGACATTAGTAAATCCGTCTTCTATGCTGAGACGGAGTCTGAGGAAATGGGGGCACTGGACGGAAACTATTGCAGATGGATGCTGGAGGGCGTCACTAGCTGGGGGAGGGGGGGAGAGAAGGTGATGTCACCGGTTTCTGCAACTGCCGTGGTCTTGCTTGCCTGAGTCAACACATTTCACTGATTTGGACGTCTTGCTACCTGAGTTAGGGTAGGCAGAAAAGCACCATTTTTTTGTGGCGTTGCGGGTGTTCTGTCTGTTGATGGATTCAGGTTCACCACTCACATCTACAATCTGCACACGAGCGTTGCTCTTCCTTCTAGGATACCCATGGTAAGGCGAACGAAGGTAGTTTTGGTGTTATTTAGAATGGTAGTAAACGAAAGAGTTGCTGAAAAAATCCATTCTCAGTACATTCATCATGCCAAAAGTTGAGATTAAATCTTCGAGAACGCACAAGCATTCGATCTCATCTGCATATATCGACTTTCTGGGAAATTAATTTAGTCCTTTGGGTTGCGTACTGCTGTTTCGGAACTGCCTTTAGAGTGTTCAATACTATGTTTCTTAGTTTTCTTTCACCACCGAATCTTTAATGAAGAAATGCGGCATACCTTTCGGGAAATGTGCCTTTCGTAATGGCAGTCGCTGTCTTTGGTTCCAACGTCAACAGGTATGTCCAAGCGACGTTGTGAGCCGTGATTTGATCTCATTATGGTGTCTTCCACAAAGTTGCTATTTCTCTCGCTGCCGGCATCGGGTCTATTGAATCACACCAATGAGAATATACATTATGTTTGCACTCGCTGCCATTTGACATAGAACAAGCTTCGGAAATACCTATGCTGCACTTTTAAGTGCCTGAAAGGGTCTGCGTGCTGTCAATTATCATCAATTCCTGAACTTGCTGGAAGGACAGTTTTTTTGGAATTTAGTTTTTATTGTCAAATTTTTGCTTGCAAACGTGTTATGGTACGTCAAACTTCTGCTAAAACAATTTAGCATAGAAGTATTTAGAACCTTTTAAGCTGTTAAGATCTCTTCTTACGTCTTTTAGGGCTTCTGTCGTCCACGAGCCTTTATCGCAGCTCAAGGTCCCAAGGACACTACATTTGACGACTTCTGGCAGATGGTTTGGGATGAAAACTCCAACATCATTGTCATGATCTCCAATTTCGTTGAACGTGGCCGTGTAAGTTGTTACAGAATTGGACTGCCTAAGTCGTGATCCTCACTTTGGCACACTTTAAAATGCGCACTGAATAATTGCTACTTTCGGCTACCGCGTGTTTCATTTGGGTTGGATCATGTTTAATTCCTGTTGGATCAGAGTACGTGACTTCACAAATCACGGTAATTGTTGCTACGATATTTTTTTTAAAAAAACAATAGTAAAATTCTTATTTTTTGTCCGGCAAATTGGTGCACCAACCAGTGTCCGCCATGTCTGTTGCAAAAGCATTTTTTGTGTCAGCGCTAGTGCGGTGTAGAATTGCGAGCCCAGTCGAATCATTCTAGCTGCCTTGTGGTAAAGTTAATTACATCGCTTGCTTTTCCTTCCTTTGTGCAAATTCGTACAAAAAGTTGGGATTATCGAGCATATCTGTGAATAATCTCTTTTTTGTCTTAGTATTATCGATTTTGAAAGCCAACCGTGCATTAAGACTTTGGCCATGGAATATTGAAGGGAAGAGTTTTAAGTTGATTTTACGATCAGATTCCCTGCTTCCAAACTGGCAGTGTTTTTACAGCTAATTTAGCCATTCGCAGCCCCTGCATCCTACTTTTGGATACCTATCAATATGAAATTGGACGCTTGGATTTAATCACTACTGCCTCAGTATTGCAATTGAGTGTCCACATTGTTCTCCAAACACTTTCTTGCCTCTATAATTCGTTTAAGGACAAAACTCAAAGTACTGATTTTATACAATCCACTGGAAACGAGGCTTTTATTTATCTGGTGGCTCATCTGTTGTCAAGCCAGCGTTTTTTTTGTGTCATATTCACCGACTGCGTAACGCCAAGGGTGAACTCAGTAAGCCACAATATGTGTACGTGCATTACTGTTTTTTTCCCGATAGAAAGTACAACTTCCTCTTCTTTCTTATCCAGTTCTTTAATGGCTGGCTCCGTCTGTCTGCTGTTTTGTCAAACACCTGACGCTGGTGCTGGTGTTGATGGCCCGAGCTTACACAAGGGTGGAGGTGGAATACTTGGGTGTGAGCGGATGACGAGGCTTATTTCCTGTGCTCGTCATTACAACCACACTTAGGGGTCAAGATGCTCAAAGATTGATCATTGCATTCAAAAATCGACTTAACTATTGTCGTTTTGGCTGCATAAAAATTTACCCATGGTAGGCATCGGCTGTAGGCTATTTCATTGTGCGTTAGAATAAAAGAAGCCGTATCAAACGAATAAGAAGCATAGATTGCCGGTGTGGTTCGGAAGTCATCCTTCTCGATGATCGTACAATGGCTGAGCGATCCTTTTTCAAAATCAAGAATTGAGCAAATAAGTGAAGTACTGCACTACATAGCAAGAACAAGGCATCATGAAGTCTCTGAGTCTTTATCAAAACTTTTGTGTTCTCCCTTTAAAGATGTCCGATTTGCGTGTGCAATAGCTGATTTGGAGGCAGGTTTACTATTTTCACTGGTGTGTTTGGGGTAAGATTATTGTACTCCTTTAGAACACCTTACCGAGTCCGGAAATGAACTTTCAAAAGCATTCACTGCTAACCATATCCGGTAGAATTCGTCAAAGGTTGGATTTAAAACACTCATTCGGATTTTGCTCTACACATTTGCACCTTTAAAGATTGATTCGCGCTACAGATTCCACTGATTTGTCTTTTTTCGTGCCTGTCAAACAAATGACGCATTCGATATTTTTGTTGCAAAAGGGGCGAGGGACAGAAAATGAAGGGTCATTAGTTGGTTTGCGGACGGTGTTCCTGGCGCATCCCCGCTACAGGTTTCCTTACCAAAATGAGGGCGAAGGAAGAAGAAATAATTAGTTTTGCCTGAATGTTTCACATGAATACTCTCTTGGCTATGTCGACTGCCCCGAGATTTTTTACTGACAAGGATGACAGTAAATTTGGAATTGCTTCAGAAATTTGTACGGAGAAAAATCACCTCGCGGAGTGAGTAATAAGTGAGCTGAAAATTTCAAAATGGTTGAAACTTACGAGATGAGCATAAGGCCTTTAAGAGGTGTACGATCGTGAGGAATGGAGGAGCAAACTCGAACGGATTGAAGGATTGCCTAATCAGTACCCAACTTATTTCAATATTCATGAATGCGTTACCGGTATTAGGAAAAGATGAGAACTTCTGAAGGTAGGTGATCGCCTCTCAAAGACCTCGTCGTATTTTCCAATCTAACTTTCTTGTGATTGAAATGCTCTTCCATTAACATTTATCAAGTCGAGCGTGGTGAAAATGACTTTCGCATAGCTGCCATGATGAGCAGAACATCTCAATGATTTAACAAGGACAGCATCTGGTCAAATTACGGTCCCCACAAGTGTGTTGTGGACTTGTAACTGAGTCTATCCTTCAAAAACGGACTATTTTTTCATTGGTGATATTGGTTGCCATTCATGGCAATTTATGGCATACTCTGAAGGCCTTGGAATTGGGAATGCTAGAAATGCACCAAAGGAAATCAGCCTGAGGCGGGCTAATACCACTTATGCTAATGGGGCACAAGTGCTTTGGCTCACGTACATCAGTGCGTGTTTCTCCGTGTCCCTTTTGTGTTCCATTGGACAAGAGCGACGCGACTTTGAGTGAACGCACCATTTGTCACCCTTTACACCACTATAAACACCGTCTCTTCGCTCATTCACCTGTGTGTGGAGCACGGGGAAGGAGGGGCTGCCCAGTGCGGTACGCTCTGACAAGTTGTAGATTGATATGGTGATGTTGGCAATCTGTCATGATTTGTCTTAGAGAGGCTCAGTCACGGTAGATCACACGCACGCTTTAGCGAAGCTTGGACTCCTTATCAATGTTAGAATTTTCAATCATTCATTATGCGCTGTAATCATCGTAAGTGGCGTGCCTACTCTTGATGCGTTTCTTTAGATTCAGTAACACTTGAAACCGGTAATGTACTTTCTTCCGATGCATTTAGGCGATTGCTCAGGTCGGTGGTGAATCTTTCGCCTTACTTGAGGAAGTGGAATAAAATAAATTTCTGGGTGACATGGGCTTACTGACTTTGAATGGCACTGTGTCTGTGAAATGTGGGTAGAAGGCGACTTGCTTACACGGTTGAATCGTCAATGTTAAAATGAAGCGAAGTGGAGAACTTTGACGACGTGTTTGATAGACACTTTCTCAACACTGTGGAAGTTAAATTAGCTAGTAAAGTGGTAGGGGATAGGGGACTTTCAAATGAGAGTCGCAAGTAGGCAAAATTAAGTTTATCTTCTTCAGGTCTTTGCTTCTGGCTGACACGCTATTTTATGCAATTTATCTTCAGATGCGCTGCTACAAAACTGATTGCTTTTTTATTCTTACCATTTTTAACTGGTCTGCTTCTCTTTGAAAACAATTAAAGGGACTAGCGTTTATTGAAAATTAAATCAGGCTCCGTCACAAGTATTAATTGAAACTAGTGAAAAGTAAACTTTTATTTTATTGTCAGTTGGTAAAGTTTTATGACAATCCGCTGTGATTTTATTAGCCCCTTGGGTTGCTAATGTCCGACTTTAGTCGAGCTAGCTCCTACCTCCTCAATAAAACCACATATTGGTGGGAGACTCACTTTCTGCCCCTGCTGCGTCGAGCTATATCTGTCATTCGAAACTAATTTGGCCTGTGAAAAGCGTCTGGATTTTACACCACGCCACATTTAAAGCAAAACTTCTTTGATATTTTAAGCTGTTAAGTCAAGACAGTTTATTTGGGAGTTTTTGAAACCTATCGAGTTATTTTTCTTAGGCAACGCTGAGAATGTGATAGGAAAACCATGGAAGGGCCATTCGAAAGGCTTTGAGATTCCGTTTTTTTATTAAGCATTTGGCTTTGGTGAGTCTTTTTTCGGATCTCCAACCCTTGCTGTATCTACTCTTGAAAAGGAAGTGGCGTGTTTTCTTGCATCTCTCAAAGGGAAGGGCGTTTTAACACCAAAGCCAAAGGCGCAGAGGACAAATCTGGGCTCGTGAGAGAAAAAGGAGTCAAAGAGCACTTTTGCAACAATCTAGCTGATTCGCTCCTTGAGTCAGGGGTTGTTGAGACCCCTTCCCTTGGTATTTTAAATGCAATCAATGCAAAAGGTGACAGCACCTCAGACAATACGGAAGTCTGATTGGTCTTTGCCTTGAAAGCGACTTAGCATTGTACCTTTAAAGTGGTCTGCTCCTTTCAAATACCAGCAGTCCATAGGACCAAATCTTTTCCCTCTTTGATGATCCAAAGCGCTTTATTATCATTCTACTAGTGCGCTAGTAGGACTTATTATTTACCATCCCCACTCCTTTCTCAGATCTGTTAGGTTTAGCTTTCATGAATGGTTGGAGTTGGGCTCAAGACTATTCAAAATTAATCAGTGTCGTACTTCGGACCTTGTCAAATTTTAGCATGGTATTCTGTTTTGAAAATCATCAAACCGTACATCGATGGTTCTTGATTTTCATAAGCATTCGAGCACATTTTCTCAGAATTTCAGGCTATCCCATTTCTTGGATAGCGTATGCTTATCATCCCCACCACGTTTTGTTCCTAAAAGTCCCTGAAACAGAAAAAAAGTGTGAGTTTATTTCCGCCTAACTGCACTTTACCGTTGTGCAAGAGACTGTGCCGGTGTTTTTGCCATATGACATCCACTTTGTCGCGACGGTGTCTCCTAGCTTTTCGCAAATGCTCTGTTGTGGTTACAGTTGGTTTAAGTGAACATGGCTAAAATGAAAGAAGAGATGCAGTTGTTCATCTTGGGTTTCCTAATACCAACTAAAAATCTTTTATGGAAAGCATCATTTTCATCCAAAAGCAGCACAGGTGGCTTAGACAAGCCCCCATTTCGGAGAGATGCAGAGGTCGTGTTGGAACACGTACTATTTTGCCGTAACATTCTTAATTTTTTTATCTCTTTTTCCTTCTCCTCCAGCTATAGTAAGTTTTAGCCCGATTCAAGTAGATTTAAATTGGCAACAACATCTGCATGAATGTGAAACCTAATTTACCGTAAGTGGGTAAAGTGCTATGCGAAGAGGTACGATCGTGAGAGAGTGTAAAGGTCAGCGTAGTCGCAAATGTATTGAAGATACGTATCATTTCTCTGCAGTCTGGTAAAAGCACTTTTCCTTAACATTCTCGTCTTTTTCTCCAGCGCAAGTGCGATCAGTACTGGCCCTCTAGTGGACCCCAGACCTACGGTAACATCAGCGTTCAGATGCTCTCCGAAAACTACTTGGCCTGCTATGTGGCGAGGGTGTTTCTAGTGAAAAATGTCAAGTGCAAAAAGGTGGGCCTTTTCTTATTTTTACCTCATTTTTAGTGCTTTCATGCACCCAATAAGACAACTATGTAAACAGATACGGTGGTTCTGTTGGGCTGAAACTTCATTTTAGCACTTTGAACCTTCGAAAGCCTTTCGGCTTGGCAAATACAATTAATGATCTTTAGCAATATATTCGCATCCTGTTGGCAGGGATGTCTTTCATGCATTGCCCATACGCAATACAGAATGCTACTCTTTTCTAGACGTTCCTTTTATGATGAATTTACTGAAACAGCACTTAGCGATATCAGTAGGCTCAAAATATTTATTTATTTACATTTGAGGTGCTTGCGATTAGGTTTTGTAGTCATTCTAAACCATCTCAGTGTGCTATCCAATACCGACGTACAGGGAGATTGAGTTTGTAGTTGTGGATGGAAGGTCATATCTTCCACTGGGAGTTCAACCTACGTAGCCAAAATACCAATTCGGCGCGTAGTTTATTTCCTTTGAGTTTCGTCTTATGCATTCTGCCAAGCGATCCAAGGCGGTAAGCTGAATTCGCGTCCAAGAGAAGGTGTCGCTTATTGGTAGTATTATATCACTATCACTTTCTCTGCAAGGAGGGCTATGTTGAAGGTCCTAATGACGGCCGCTCTTCTCAGCAATCTTTATTAAGTGTAGAGAACGGCGAATATTACTTTTTCCGAGAATGAACTAAACCTTTTAGACTGGAGAATATTGATGGAAGCCTTTCCTTGTGCTTAATCAGAATTTGTTGTGCTTTGTTTTCCTCTTACTTTAGGCTCATTGGTCTTTCAGCTGTTTCTTGACTCACTATTTTTGGGTAATTATTGCCACACAATACAAGTTTCCTGAATGACGTTGTACTGCAAAAATGCTAGAGACCTTTCGTCTAGGCCAATTTCACCGCCTTTGTGTCACCTACTCTAACCACGTTCCATCAAACAGCTACTACTTACAAGGGAATGCGTTCTCCATTTTTATCGGACCTACCAATAAGTCTCTATGATGCTTGAAATCCCCTTTCATTACAACAGTAAAGTGGTTTTATCATTAGAAATTGATTTAACTTACCTTCTTGTGAGCTATTCCCTCTGAGTTACCTGGAGGTTTTATTAAAGTCGCTGCATAGGCAATGCGACTTTGCTGTTTTTCACCTCAACTTATTCACTGCCTTTTTTCTGTGCAGCATATGCATTGTTTACAAAATCGGAGACAGACTTTCCTTTGATCGCTTCATGATTACGAGCTAGTTTGTGATTTAATTTTCGGGAGCATTTGGGTAGGTTTTGCATTCCTTGGGCCCAGACTTCGACCGGTAGCATTAGGAGACATTGATGATGCAGGGAGTTGTGACCTGAAAAGGCGTCAAGTGTCCGGAAAAGCTTAAATACTTGTGCTTCTTCCTCTTTTGTCAATGGATTAACCACCCATTAAGCGGTGTGTATTTTTTTACCGAACGTAAGTTAGTCATAAATCAGGGCGCTTGGGTTTCGTGCTTCCTTGTCATTTGTCATTGTGTTTTTCGCGAATAAACTTCGAAGGCTGTTTTTCCCCCATGTGTGTATCCGACCGGACGTATGGTGCCTTCTGTTTTCACTATGCCAGTGTTTGGTTGGAGCAGAGGGAAGATTTATGTTCAGATAGCACGCATTTTCATAGTTCTGCTTGGTAAGGAGGTAATGGTTACCCTATTGGAGTATTATTTAGATTATTTAAAAGCAAGCAATGGTAGTACAACTGCGTGTAATGCCATGTACTACGAATGAACTACCAGCCGCACTGGTGACCGCAGGAAATACGGTTGAAGAGAGTCCGTGTCTTCTCCATGGAAATTCTCAATGCATTACGTTGTGTACTGTGGACGGCTAGGCAGGTGACAGTTCAGCCACCTAATGAATTTACCGGTTTCCGATGAGGCCGTTCATCATATCATGCGGAACAAGTTATGATTTTGTGGATCTTTAAAAAGATCAAAGCAATTGTCTTAGGAAGCTTCACAGGGCCATGAAATACTTTTTTTCGGTTTGAAAAGGATTAAAGCACACTTTTCTCGGATGAAATGTAAGATTTCTCTATCGGGATCGTGCGCAGTCGTTTGAGTGTCTGAAATTGCTATCATTTTACAAGAGATAAGAAGAGCGCTATTTACTTAACTTTTGAGCTCTCAGAAGGAACAATACTTGCTTCCTAATCACTTTAACTTATCTTCAAGACTCCTACATACGTCTCACATTTCGTTGCTGCGGTACCTAAGTCTCCTCCCCATAAACACATGCCACTTTTTCGCGTTTTAGTTCACTAAGGAGAGGATTGTGCGACACTATCAGTACACTGATTGGCGCGATTTTGACGTCCCTCCCTCACCCTTGCCTGTGTTGGTCTTCGTCAAAACCACCATCAAGGAGTGGACACCTTCTCGTGGACCAATAATCGTCCACTGCAGGTCTGTTCCCTTCTCTCTCCTTATCTGCTTCTGTGGTTTTACGTAGCCTGTGGTGGCAACTTTGTTAATTTTTGTCACTGATCTGTGATATACCTGTTCCGAATGCTAGTTCTCGCTTTTCAATCGTTCATTCTTGATTTTTTTCCACTGTGCTCTACGCTCTTTTTCACTGTCTTTCATTGTCAAAGTATTGTTTAACACTAGTTAGTTAATACACAACGCAAAACAGCACCACAGTTCTGTTTTCATTTTCAATAACTTACGTGGCGACTTTTTTGAGATTCCATTCACAGGATGATGATGGGTCGCGTTGGCGGATCATTTGACCACTAAGTATCAAAATTACCGAAAAGTTGTCTGAATTTAAATTAAGGAAGTGTAAACGGTTTTACTTCATTCTCTTCAAGACGGGTAAAAGTGGCCTCACCATTTCCGTTAATAGGTCTATTGCGTAAAATAGCTTGCCTTATTCATTCGTGCCTAGGACAGTGGGATTCAATGCCGAAGCTGTGAAGGAAGGCACAGCTTGCGCGGAAATGTGTCTGAGTAGTTCAGCGCTTACACAAAGCCTAATGTGCGGAGCCTTGGAAGTGGGAGGGCTTGCACTTCCGATCTTGAGAATAAGCCTTCATGAATAACAAGTAACCAAGCGTGTTCTCGTTCGTTCAAGGCTCCCCAGAGGACTCCTATGAGTTAACGTCTTGCCTTGGCCGGAGAAGTTCAGTTATCCGATTGACGAACTCGGATTTCGCTATGCATTTATTTTGGCGCCAAGGCGAGAAATAGGCGGTAGATTGGATTGGTGCGTGGGCCCCCTTTGGTTTCAGAATGGTTGCTTTTCTAGTGATTGGATGTGTCCTCTGATTTCGGAACTGTACATCAAAACGCTTCGTCTCTCCAGAAGTTGTTCTTCCCTTTCTCTTGTTTCCCTTCATGTTTCCACCTTATATCACACCGTTCCTAATCACTTCCCCTCACTGACACTCAAATCATGTCACAACGGTGTGGTGATGTATCAAAATTCCGTCCATTAGGATATGAAGCATGCTTCTGTTTTTTGTTTCTCTATAGTGTTGCATTTTTTCACGAAAAAATAGTCTCTGTTGCGGGTTTTTGATTAGGACACTTAAGTTTCTTGTCACTCATGTTGCACACTTTCTTGGGTATCACTGCAGGCTTCCTGAGGGACGGATTTCTAGTTTAATGGGTAGCTACTCAATGATGAGATAAATTTAAAAAATAATAATAATAATTGCGTAAAGTCATTGGCTCTTTTGTTGAACCCATTCTTATTCATCTGAAATAGCATTCTTTGCAGTGCTATTCCCACCAAAGTCAAGTCACGGAAGGCTTGCTGAGCCACAATGAGCCGGTCCCCAAGGAATACAGTATAATACCGACGATTCTCCCTTATCATGGTGTGCGCCTTTCAGGTGTTTTATGATCCACCAATATCATACACTGCTTGCTTAGCTTGCAACTAATTTAGTCTGTCTCTACTCACTTTTCTCGGACCGTAATATGGTGAATCATGGGCTATTTAAGGTAGGCGTTGTTAAATGTCATTTTTGATGACTCTGTCCGTATGTGTTTACACAAGTGTTTTTTTCTCACATGAAGATGTATGTGCAAAGCCTTTCTGCCCCAGCCTTTCGAATTATTGATAGCACCAGGGTGAAAGCACTCTTTCCCTCACGTAGGATTGAAGGGGCTATCAATTGTAGCAGATCTGTCGTCATTTGCACTGCACCGACCCGGATCGGAATCAATTGTGGAATTACTTGTGGACTGCTCCACTTGGTTAGGATCTGGCGAATGGAGTCAAAGATCAATTCTGCTTCCAATGAATGAAACAACTATAGAAAAGGCTCTCATTTTTTGGTGGGTATTTTCTCCATCATTCACACCCCTTCTCGATGAGGTCCTTGAATGCTTGATCCTGTTCCACAACGGCTGAAGTTGGATTGTGGAGAGACATCAATGAACTTTTGCTTCTAAAATGCAAAAGCAATGTCCCTATTTTGATGCCCCGAAGTCAAACAATTGCACCAAATTTGCTCATTGACTCTCCGTAGGTAACCTTCTTTACCCAGTTTGAAGCGATTGATTAGTCTAAATTCTACTTCCACACCTATCCCTAGCATTTGTGAATTACCCGACAACTACTTTTCTGCTGGACCCACCACCTGCTTTGAAGTGGTATTGCCGCTCCCCACACCGTCCTCTGAGTTAGCCGAGGTGTATTCTGTTTCTTGCATCACCTGCCCTAACCAGACTTGCACGTTTACTTACGCGTCCAAAGTTGAGTCACATCAGCTTCTCCCCGTCCCACCCTCATCTCGTCGTCTTTGCCTTTGTTCACATGCGCATCAGACACTACTTCACCCCACTTGCATCTTCCTCCCTCTTGCCAACCCCCCTTGTGACTCATTCACATGTGCGGATGCGTGCACCTGTGGTTTAAAGGGTGGTAGCGCGTACGTCTGTGCAGCTAGGTCCTATGACCTGCTTAAAAACCATATCTTAGAAGTGGGATGATGCGATTAAACATGCATGATCTGTTCAATCCCAGAGATGTCCTTTCGCGTAAATCGGGCCCATACGTTTGGTTGCCGGTCTTGCTGTAACCTAAACCTGGGTTCAGTTGGCACTCCAAAATTCTTCTGTGCTTTTTGTTCACCAACTAAGCTTTGGAATTGAGCAAGACCTACAATTTCGTGTCCAAGTTTTTTCCTGTTTCTAAGCTTCGTTCCTGGTCCTGTCTAAACTTTTCATTTCACGTGTTGTCAAATCAACTTCTGGGGAATTTTTCGGTTGTCTATGCGATGAATTAGACTTCCGCAACTCCACTTACGTTTGGATTCCCTCTTGAAGTCACTTTCTTTGCGAATGTAACCAACTAACTGCTTTCATTAACTGTCTTTAATCAAAGTTTGTGTCGCTATTCTTCTGTTTGATTTACGTTTTGTCTTTAATATTTTTCAAATGGATTTAAAGAGGTTTTATCGCCGTCCTGACCTCTGGAAATTATTTCCTGGAATGTGAAATAGTCTATAATTTTCTATATCGTCCTCAATTTCACCACTATACGGTGTATCTTGATGATCTTAAAAAATTGTGCTCATGCAAGAATGCTGCGTTGGGTTTTTTGGCTCACCTGCGTAGTTTCCGTGATTTTCTGTCCGTTCTCTTGAATGTTAGGGGATGAAAGAAGCACAAAATCCTAGTAGTTAAGGTAAGGCGTTTTAATCACCCAGATTAGCATAACCTCAGTCGGATGCATCAAATGGGTTGTTTGGTCCTTGATTTTTAAACCGCTTTCCTCTCTTGCATCCATTGGTCGCACAAAACTAGCTGTCTTGTTCATCTCTCCTCTGTTCAGAATCAATAGCCTACATTACTTCATAAGGTGCTTAATTGAATCGTCTTTTCCACTTTTAAGCGCTGGAGTTGGTCGAACTGGCACATACATCTGCATCGAGAGCCTCATCCGCCAGCTGGAGGCGGAGAAACAAGTCAACATCCGCGGCTTTCTTGAGCACATTCGGCAGCAACGCATGAAGCTGGTACAAACTGAGGTATGTACAAATGCCTTTCACTTTTTCGCCCTCTAGCCGCACCTGTCGTTCATTGGGGCAATTTGATTTTGGCTTGGAATATGGGTTTTGTCATCCTTTGGTTGGCAACTAAACTATTCTTTTAAAGTTTGGTGCTTTTGCATAGCCAAAGTTGGAGTCAAGTTGATCTTGAGTAGATTTTCATAATGTTATTTTAATTCCTTGACATCATAATTCGGAGGAGACGCTACTCAACTACGAAGCACAATGCCAGCACAGGTCGAAGTGGGCTGAACTCACTTTATTCTCGTCAATCTCTGGCACATTTATGAAGTTGGATACAAGCCAGCAATACAAGGAAGTCCGTACTTCTTTCGCTTAAGAACCTGCAAAAGTTTTCAATGTCCATCACCCATCACAATTCTTCATTGAAAGAAAATGTGTGCTGACACTGATGAAGCATAGACTTACTCAAGGGTATGTCTATGCGAAGCAGTGTTCTTATGCACTACAACACTTACTGATCTGTCAGATTTCGTTAGCTTATGCGTTTGTTGCTTTTCATTGGATTTCAAACAAGTGGACAAAAATGAAAACTTCCATATCTCCAGTTGCATGAACAGATTGAATCGGCTTCGTTTTAGAATGCATAAAATCACAAACAGGCCTTTCTCCTTTCCACTCACTTTGTGGTCCATCGCACTGCGTTGCCAGCTCCCTACTTTGTCTCCATTTCACCCAAAATTTTTTTCGTGGTCAAATGCACGTTCTCCTTTGATGGGTGTTTAGAGAACTTTGCTTCCTGAATGGTGAGGTAAAAGTTGGGTAAATCTTCTGGTGGGGTAACAAGGAGTTCTTCAAAACTTATTGAGCCTTGCTTGAGGGACAAAAATAGTCACGCACACAGCATGGCATTTTTCGTCCCTGGATCGGATAATATAGCCACATTTCCCAGGTTGTTTCAAAGTCTTGGCTATTAACGAAATGCGTATTTTGAACATGATGTTTTGATACATACTCGATGCTGTCAGGGCCTTTCCCTGTTGATACTTTGCAATGCTTATGTGCGTGAAAACTCAAGCGCGCACCCAATTTGCCACTTTGTATCTTTGATGAAAGAAATGCGTTCTTGGGGGCTGTGCAGACTGTGCCATAATTTCTGATGAACCTAAGCATGGTATAAGTGGGGACTATACTCCGAGCCAGAAATCTTGACTGTATCCAAGTCAGTCGGTTTTAAACTTTGTTCGCAAAAAAAAACGCCTTCTGATCCAGCTAATTTATACGGAAACTGAATAAGTTATTAATACTGGAAAACTTTTTGGCATCGAAATGACGGTCAGCGCAATCTATGATTCCACTGTTACTAGGCCTTTTATATATGAACCTTGAGGAAGAAAATATGTGTTCGTCCATCTTGCTAATACTTTACTTTCTGAATTGCGAGATGGCGAGTGACGAGTTCTTGATTGTCTTCGATTGTGGCCATCTTAGCGTTGAAGAATCGCCAGTGCACATTCGAATTTTGTTGAGTAGATGGATCTTGGACTGAACCGCGACCCGCATTTCCAGTAAGAAAATAGTTGCACCTGTAATGCAGTCGTCTTCCTCGGGTGGGGCATGTTTTGCTTGAGGTGGATGAGGTTGTGTGTGCTTTGGAAACGTATGCAGGTGGGAAATGGAGTGTTGCATGAAATAAACTAATGAAGTGTACATTTACCTGACGAAAGTTAAAATACAAAAACTAATTCAGACAGTTAATTCCATACGTACACAGGATGAAGATCAACTTGCTGGTATTTAGGCTCACTATCTACTATCTGTTAGCCTGGGGCATGTGAAACTCATTGGCCTCACAACTTTTATTGCCTTTTCCGTTCCTCCTGATGCAGGTGCGTGGAATCGTTTCTTTAGTAGTCAAACTGTAAATGCTTGCAACCTTTTTTTTAATTAATACATCGATACGAATTCTTATCCATTTATGCTTCATATCTGTGCAGTGGGGATTCTTCTGAATGTCATGCGACCTTGAATGACGGGTATGTTCTGTTTTCATACGTTCACTTCCACATCATGCTCGATGCGGAACTTTCAACTCGTTTATTGAATCGAAGTTAAGTCGTTTCCTCTTATTTCGTTCAACCGACATGTGTACCACATGAGGGTTTTCAATGGAGAGAATTATAGTGGAGAAAACAACAGTGTGCATCGTTGTGGTGGGTCTCTCCATTTTCGCCATTCATGCTTCATAAGCAAGCCGTTGCTTTGGAGTCGTTAAAATTTAAGCCTAGTTCACCGTTAGTTGTAACTTTGCTTCCTGGCAGTTTAACACCGTCATAGCAACATGAATTTAATAGCATCTCCATTTTATACGTTTAAGTCCTGAACTCTTCATCTTTGAGGCGAAATCAAGCTTTATCTGCTCATTAGCCCAACCTCTAGTAATCGAAGAACAAACCGCTTTTTGTTCGCATAAACTCGCTTAACACTGCTCTCTTAAAAAATTGCTAGTGAGCTTCGTGCTTGTAATGGAGTTGCTTTTGAGTAGTATTTTCTTGTTATTGATCACTCATCTCTTCTTCTTCATTGCGTTTTTCACATTCGAGGTAAGTCAAATATGACGGTTTCACTGTAATTGCTTTCCTTGCTCTACTTCATTTTCCAAAAATGTGGTGAACCCAGATGTAAGTGGAGCTAATAGGCTTTGACTGACGCTATCGACTATAGACAGTGCGGAAAAGAATCCGTTCGTCATTTCAATCAGTCCTTTCGCACTGTATGATTTTTTATATTTACCACGTATTATATGCATCGTATCCGATCGGTGGAAGGCGACTCTCTCCAAATTAAGTCATTGTTACTGTGCAAGCTAAATGACTTCGTTAATTGTTTGATCCCATACAAACATTTGGTGGTCCGTCTTTGAAATGTGATAGAGTTTAAAGTGTTGCCGAATTTGTGTAAGTTACTTGGGACAGATTTGTAATTGGCTGCTTGGTATAACGCTCCTTATTGTATGACCTCTTAGAGATCTGATGCGTCATTTAGGGTCAAAATCCGACATTTCATCACTTGAATGTTCATGGTTGGAGTAATAAGTGGAATTACTGCACTTCTTCTACTAAATGACGGTTTGTTTAAAAGTCAAGACATTTAATGAATGTCTTCCTCCCTTTCTGTTGCAGCAACAATACGCCTTTATTCATGACGCACTTCGTGAGTACCTACTCTGTCCGGAGCATGAAATCTCGGCCTTGGCCTTCCCAGCTTATGTTCAGTGCTTGCGCCTACCCGATGCTGCAGGGGTTACTGGGCTGCAGAAACAATTTGAGGCAAGTCTTCCTCACTCTTGTCTCCACTCAGCCTTATTTCAGTAGTTTTGGATCGACCCTACTTCTTAACTTCATTACTCTCTGCTACAAAACTGCGTTCCTGCATTCCTTGTGTGTTGGCCGTTTTTTGAGATGAAATAACAATTCTTTGAATTTTGACAGTTTTAGTGGAATGAAAATGTACTATTTGACAAAACTCATTTCCCTCTTTTCTAATTGAATTTTATAGCGTATCAACCCGACTTCACTTCTGAGTGAAAATGTCGGTATATTTGCCCCAAATAATTGTTTACACACCGTCTGGCAGACACACTTGACCCATGTGTAACTCTAGTAGTTGCATTCAGTAATCGTACAATTTTTTCGATCATTCTTCGCGAAATTGTTCCAGCTGTCCTTGGCATTTTTTTGAGGCCAGGGATGACTGGATTTTTTGGATTTTTCAGAGTCTGGTTGCTCCAACAGTGACATTTTGAAACTTGTTACGTACAGCTCTAGGAATGAGTAATTTAGCCATAATTTCCACTTTTCTTTATGGCACGTGACGAATCTGCTTCTCAGACGGTGATTGCTTCTTTCGCCCTACATCCCTTCGCCTTTATCGTACACGGTGAAATTACCGTTTCGAATTCTATTGCATCTCAACTGCTTTAGTCATAACTAACTCTTTGCTTTCCAATCTTTATCCTAGTAATGTTGCAGATTAAAAGCGCTGTCTTCCAAGTCGTTTTGCTTCCTGATGATCACGTTCAATTTTTTAGGGAAACGCTTTCTTTTTCAAAGTCTAACTGACATTTTTGACTCCCTGCTGCTTCTGTGAGACGGTAGAATGACAAACGTGGGAGCCCATTCAGAAACAGCGTTACTTTTAATTTTGCCTAAAGCGTACCTAGCGGAGATTCTTAGAAAAATCGAAGTCAGCAAGCACTTGTGTCTTCGGAATGCCTTTATTGGTTTTATGTAGCGTTTTATAGAAATGGTCTATTACTATTTCCTGACCTGCGTCCAAAAGGAATAATAATGCCAAATCCGGTATTTATGCAAAAAGTAGGAGAGGGCTGGTGTTTCAAACAGGGATCTGAAGCCCTGAAATTTCTCAATCTTGTATTCCCATTGACTCTCCATTATCCCATCCTTCGTTTATTGGCTGGACACATGCCCTTTCCCGTCCCCTAGTTCCACCTACTATCGGTCACCAATGTCACTTCGTCCTTCTGATGTCTCTTTCAGCATTCCGTGCGTTTGGAACTTCCTTCTTTTCATGATTTTAGCAGACGGTGTCATGCATGGAGACAAAAGTTTATACCTCTTTACAACTCAACATTCTCGTATAATCATAACAACTCTACTTGTTGAGGTCTCCCAGGCTGATGAGCGCGACTGTTTCACAGTCAAGTTGTTGAGCCGCTCCTCCCTTTGCTAATAGCCATTGGGCGTTTCGGCCCCTTTTCAGCCGTCCTCCCTTCGACTGGAGTTGAATTATGAGTCAGTGGTGAGGTTCATAAGGCTCTTATCAACAAAGCGCTAGGCCCTTGTCTGAAAGTTTCCTGTAAACCTGCTTTTCAAATTTACTGACTCCTCGAAGTTATATGAGTTTTGAGTTCGCATAAAATGTGGAATTAAAGGAGATAGCCCCCCAAAGTTTGACATTAACCTTTATTTCTTCAAGGGTAATCAAAAGAGGTCATGGAGTTTTAATGATAAAAATTAAATATTTAGTGATAACTACTTTGTGTGTTTTATTTGCTGAAGTAGTCACTATTGCTTTCATCCTTTACTAAGGAAACAGAAAATTGTGATCTCCGTCTTCAGCTGTCCACTCTGTTCTACAATGCTTTCTCTAGTCCGAAGGGCGAAGTCTGCTTTGCGCTCTAAGATGTACCGCCTTGGTTATTTCTCAAAATAGGAAGCCCTCCTTTGCCATTTTTGAAAAGTACCCTATCAGCTCGAAAAATCTTATTCGCTATCGTTATGGCTGATGTATAGGATCGACCTTAGAAGTGTGAAGTGTGCGAAAAATCATGTAAATTGCGCATAGTTAGAAAAACTGCGCTGTTTTCATGTGGCATCCACTTGGTCAGTTGTTATCATCACCACCTCATTTCCTAGCTGGTGTAAACGGAATACGCTTAATACTTAGATTCTGTTCTTTTTGAGCCAGTAACTCCCATTTCATTTAACTCATTAATAGTGATGCATGGTACTTCATCTTCAGGGTTGGAGGCCTCATGAATATGTTTAATCTCCCCTTGAATGACTTGAGCGGAAACAGCTGGTCTCTATCAAAAGACTTCTGAATAACACCTTTACGGGAAGCTTTCTGCTTCTGTGGCACTAACACAGGTGAAGTCGCGTTCCTCAATCTAGCGTCTTTTGATGAGGATTGAAAATGTTAGGAAAATGCCAGACAGCACAATAAAGAGTACATTACCAAGGCGCTAACGCAAACGAAGGCGTTACAAAAGCATGTTCACAAATAGCCGCCCGTAGTTGGCAGGGCTCTTCAAGTTACACCAAATCGTTGCATCGACTTTCATTGGTAAGCTCCAGGAACTTCTTTGCTTATTTACTTTTATTCCTGAAGTTGAATCATCTTCAGCTTCCTATCCTCCACATTACTGTCGGGAAATTGGTGATTGCACTATAACCAATCAGTTCTGCTTATTTCCTACTTTAGTAGCCTTTAGCATCCGGTGGTGAGAGGATTACAGTGTCTTAACTTTTAGCCGTACTATCGGTTTCGTGGCTGCCATAGCCTCATGCTTTATCAATCTTTGAGGTTGACCAGTGGCTTCAAAAGGGTTTAGCACAAGATTGTGTGGCTTGCTTGTCAAGTATGACTTCTTTGTTTATGTGCTGTTTTATGCCAATGTGAATGTGATAAACCACTGAATTGCCAGTTCTGCTTTTCATGTATGCGATTCACACGAGTTGCCACAGATGACTTGTTTGCGGACTTGTAGTCGTTAAATGCATTAAAAGAGCTGCTAAGCTATTTTAGCCACGCCTAGGGTGGATGGTTAATGAGTGTCTAATAAAGGCCAGATCGCCTACCTCTACCAACCGAATGGAGCTTTAGCCTTCCCACGGTAGATGTGCGGGATATGCTCGGGTCGGTAGTAACTCAATGTTTTATCATATTAATCACAGCCTCATCTTCCTCTGCAGATCTGCACAGATCACTTGCCCCGAGTGTACGAGTTCACTGAAGCTCGGAAGCCTGTGAATGTGACAAAGAATCGTTTACAGCGTCGTCTCTTGCCCACTGATTCGCGTCGTGTCGTGCTACCTAGCGAGGGTGGTGTGGAGGGTGCAAGTTATATCAATGCCTCAGTGGTGCAAGGATATCACCGCCTGCAGGAGTTTATCATCACGCAACATCCTATCCCTGGGACCACAGAGGCCGACTTTTGGCGCATGGTGTGGGACAAGAACTCGTCCCTTGTAGTTGTCCTTTCTTCAGAGCAAGCTGACTTGTTTCCTGACTTCTGGCCAATTGAGGCGCATAATGTAGGTTGCTTCTACTGTTCCACGAGCAGATTACGGGTAATCTGCGCTCTCACTGCACTTTCTACGGACTTGGGTTTCTATTAGGTTGACATACGTAGACTGGGTGGTTGAAGACCCACCAAAACCTATTACCCTTCTTCTATATTCTACATTGTCTTTTTTAATTCGGTTTTGGTACCCAGTTGGCTCACTGAAACAAAGCTGTTTTGTGTTTTGCTATTAGAGCATAAGTAGGCTATACCAATTCACGACTTGCAACTTCAGCTTCTCTGAGTTGCTCTTACATTAAACTTTAGGCACTACGCACCAGAAAGTATCTTGATTGATAAATATTACTGGGAACTTATACAACCGGACTTGCATATTACTGAGGCGTGGATCGAATTATGAGCCCTTGATAAGGTTAACACAATCAAGTGGTTGTGTATCCATTTGGTAGTCTTTTGATGTACGTCTGTAGCCCCAGTTACCCTCAAAAAGGGCCTCCTTGTGAGATTTGTGTAACCATTTTGCGAAGTCGGCAGTCAGTTTAGTCATTGTAATGCCCAAGTTATCTCCGATCTCTACAAAGCACACAGTTCTGAGAGTGGTATTTGTCACAAATGTAAAGTCTGGAGCACTATTCGCATGACCAATTTCTCAACATCTCGAAGACTGAATGGTGAGAGATTAGAAGTTGGTCCAGTTTAGGCATAATTTTGCACTATCTGAGAAGAGGTATCTAATAGGTTAAAGAACAATCCAGTTATAAGTTGGTTTTTCTTTCCTTGTCCTAGCCCCAAGAGATAGGTTGGTTACGCGTGGGTTTCTGCAACAGCGAAGAGGTAAGCGAGGGCCTTACACGCTACGAGTTTCTGCTATCCTCATCACGCGAGGACTACGCTCTCACTTGCCAACTGTGGCGCCTCCACGCCTGGCCTATCACCGTCACCGAGGAAGCCTGCAGTGACTTCCTCAGGCTCCAATCCATCCTCGTTTCCAACCATACCTCCGCGGCCAACGGATCTACTATTATTGTGGATGAGTAAGCGGACTGCAACACATTTCCTATCCAAATTAATGTCCCTGTTTTACCCCCTTTTGTCTCTTTGCCATCAAGTTGCCTATGCTTATGTAGAGGCTTTTGAACTCCTTTCAGTTAGCGGAAAGTTCAGAGCGATTGGTACTCTCAGTAAAGTATTCCTAGTTTCCTTCCAAGTCTATTTTCTGCTTGTAGTGATATTGAACTGTTCTAAATGTGCTTACCTCTATGTGTTCCCATTAGTATTCAGTAGATTTCCCGACTTTTTGTCTCCAACAGCAATGGTAATTTCACAGACCTGATCACATCACTGACCTGATTCGTGAGCAAAGAAACAACATTTTCTGGTAGGCCCTCCTTTTTTCCTGTCTGAACAATAGAGTGATATAATAAGCTCGCTGAACTCTTGCATTGTCAGCGTTTGAGTGTATCTAGGATTGGCCGTTTGCCTGCCATTTTTGTTTGTAAAGGAGTCTTAACCAGTTCGGCTAACGAAAACATTTAAAAGTCTGAAGGCTCCTGGGTCACTTTACTAGTTCTCCAATCTTAGGGACACAAATGTATTGGCAACTTTGAGAGATCGGTACTTGGTAGGTTGCCTTCGCACATTCGTCTTTGTCTCCCTGCTCAGGAGTACGAATGGTTAAGGAGGGATTTAATAAGCAACTTCTATGCTCGATTACGATAGCCTGTGAATTTCTCCTACTTTCTATCAGTCCGATTTAAGCCTCTACAACGCCCTTAATCGATAAAAATTCCGAAAACACCAGATTTTTAGTCAATAGGTTTGCTGACTTATCTATTGTCTCTGCATTTGTAAGCATCCGATTGATATATCGGAATCTTAATCCATTTTTACTGGCAACCGCTGCCGCCTCTGGTCAAAGTACGTAGTTCTTTGTGAACAATATTCTGCTAATATTTGCTGAACCTTCTTGGTGCCTGAAGGTATTCTAAAGCTTCGCGTTTAAATTCATAAATCTCGAAAGCAAAACGAAAGCATTAACCATGACCACTTGAGTGGAGCCGTGCAGGACCTTTGTGCTTGTATTTACCTGTACCCTTTGAAACCATTAGGCTACATTAACCCCCGCCTGCCTTGCAGCTATGGTGGAAACCGCGCTGGCATCTTCGTTGCAGTTAACTTCTTAATCAATCAGCTTACCCTCTCCGGATACATCGACGTTTACTACGTCGTCAAGATGCTCCACCTCCAACGAACTGGCATTTTTGAGTCTCCTGTATGACTAATATTTTCCGTTATTGTTCCCTCTTCTCCACTTTGTTGTCCTACTGAGATCCTGTTTTTTGCGTCCTTTAGTCTGACCTGGATTTCATCTACTCCGTGATGGAACAGTTCCTCTTGGATATGCAGCAACAGGATGACAGTAGTTCGTTCCTAGGCAATGAAACTAATTCATCCCCAGGCTACGCGAATCTGAGTCTCTTCAGCGGAAAGCTTCTCTTTCCTGTCACCCACAACTCGAAAAATCCCAGCGCCAACGGAGATGCAATTCCTCTCAAGTCCACCCTTCTACCACTCACTGCTACTTCTATGGGAGCGGAAGACCCCTTGAACGCTGTGGAAAAGACAGAAAAACGACAGATAGATGTGGAGGAAGAAGAACCAGCTCTCGAGCTGCACTCTCTCACTTCGAACGCTAATTCTGGCGACGTCTCTATCAGTCCCTCTCTGATCGGAGTCCTTACATCAGTTAAACGACCCCTTAACAATGGGTTTGTGGTGAAGGAAATGGTTCTACCTCCACCATTACCGCCACCGCCCAACCAATCACCGCCGCCCTGGCCTCCCCGCCCTGATAATCTTGAGGTGCAAGCGGTGGAAGGAGAGGTTAGTGAAGGGGAGGACCCTACACCTACCACTTCACTGGTTGTGGAGGGTGGCAGCAACCTCAATCTGAACAACGTTAACATTACCAATGGTGTAAGTGTGGAGGATGCAGAGCTAGCTATGACGGTGTGACGACGACTCTGCCCTTCTCTTACCTTTTTTTCAAGCGCCGTGACTCTCGGAATTCGGATTTGCTCTCCACCTTTCCTGTTCTCCCTTCCTATCTCACCCAACAGCCCCATAGCACTTCATTTTGCCATTTTCGTGCTGCTTGATGTGTGCGCGCATACCATATCCCATCCCTCAACTTGTTCTACACGAAACTGTAATAAAGACTTAATATGTTACTGTTGCATTGTTCTCGAACCTTGCTCTATGTTTGCTATTCATTTGCTATTCATTTAAGCTTGTTGGATATTGCGCACTTTATTCATGAACAAAATCGAGTCCATTTGAAGTTCACTAAACAGCTGAGCATGCATCTTTCGCTCTTAAATTGTATGGTAATTTCAATTGAATAAGCTAAGGTTCCAGATTACCCTTCTGTCATCCATTTAGGTTTATATAGTACCTAGTCTTTGGTCCATTTACTTTTTATCGTAGATAACTATCAGTCTTCTATTTTCGTCTCTCATAGAAAAGCGATGTCTTCGGTCTCACCAACGTCAAACAGACCAATCCTTGGTCCTCAATCCTCTATTCCCTCCTCCTCCACTGGAATAGGACTACCGCGTCACCCGCCGCCGGTGCGTCTTCCAGTGCCTAAGCGTCCTCCACTCACTCCGTCGGCCATTTTCACTCTTATTCAGACAATAAAAGAGACAGGTCGAAGGTTGGGCATGAGTGATTGCGCTGTGGCCACTGCATGCACTCTTTTCCATCGCATGGTTCGTGTTCTGACTGTCGGTGAGGAGACAGGACCATTCGCTGCCATGACAATGTCGGGGGAGTCAGAGATAGCAGCTGCTCAGCCGGCCACCTACTCAGTCACCAATGACAATCCTCTGCCCTCGGCCATTGATGGATCGATTAGGTCAAGCTTGGGAGACGTGGATCCGTATGTGAGTAGAGTACCATTTAGTAGGATGTCGTTACTTTCAATCCTGTTAGCAATGACTGTAGAAGGGGTTCATTTTTTGCCCAACTCTTAGTGCTATTAATGGGACTTGGTTATTTACTCTTTAATGATTCAACACGAGTTCCTCTATGGCGATTCACCTCCACTTTATCTCCTCACTTAACTGTCACTGATGTAGTGTGATCCCGACTATTGATTGACCGTTCATTTCTACTCTACAATACTTTTCCACTTTTCGCCCTTTAGACTATGGCAATGGCTTGCATCAGTTTGGGCGCTAAGGTTCAGGAGGAACATCAACGCCTCAGGGATGTCATAGTCGCTTACTACAGGTGGGCAGCCTCTCTTACTCATCCATCTTTTTAGGAATTCCCCCTTTTTCACCCTCCAGATGTCTATATCGGGTAATCTTGGGTTATTTAGAGTGGGATTAAAAGGTGCACAAGGAAGGATGAGCTGATATTTTAGCACGATTTCTTGGTTGTCTTCGTAAAGAATAAGTAGAGAAATGGTGAATTACCAAAGTAAATGGCTAGAAGAACTTGGCATGATGAAAGGATGGGCGAGAGATGTATTTGAGCGAGTCTGAGATGGGTGACTAACCAAATGGGCCCTTCGTAGTGGGAGGACGAATCAACTAACATCTGAATTCAGTTTGAAGGGATTGGTAGATGAATAGATGCGAGATAGGTAGGTGAATAAAAGTGTATGAATGCTGGCGAACTGGAAGGGGTCGTGATGCATGTGCACGTTAGGGACAGACAGGTCAATTGAATCAGAAATGCCAGTTAAGACTGATGGAGTTGGCGAAGGGAACAAACCGTTTCCGTTTCATTGCCCTTCGAGCGCCCATTTTTGCACTCCTCTTTCTCAGAACCCTTCACAAGACGAAACGCCCTCCACTGGAAGTGGGCGAGGAGTACGATCGTTTGCGCGTTAGTCTCGTAAGTGCCGAGTTATTCCTCATGCGTCTCCTTGGCTACGCGGTTCGGACACGTGCAGATTTACCTCACGCCTACCTTCTGCACTACCTCTCTGCTCTGCTCCACTGGATCGGAAAGGGTATCGCCCACCCACCGGAGACTGGGGCTGGTGACGGGGACGTTGACAGCGGTGGCGTGTACGCAAGCCACAGCGCGCTGGCATTGGCTCGCCTTCCTGGTCTGGCCTGGGCCATCCTAATGGATTCCTATCACGCGCCGCTCTGTGTAGACTACGCACCGGAGTACATCGCAGCATCGATTCTCCACCTGGCATTGCGAATTGCCGGTGTTGAGGTGCCGGGAAATAGGCACTCGGAGAGTGCGTGGTGGCAGGTAGGCTAGATTTGCCTTCTTATTGATTTTCAGTTTGTGTGGAAAGTGATGAGTTGAATCAACAATCTACTGTGAATGGTTCCTTGGGTGGATACGTGAGTTGAAATATGTACGAGTGAATGGCCGGGAAGTGATTCTGATAGGGATGGTGGAAACAACATTTGAAACTCCTTTTACCTGCAGTTAATAGAAACAATTTAAATTGCCTTTTACTCCTCCCTCCATCAGGCCATCTCGGATTCACTCTCTCGCGAAACAGTGGAGCAAATCCAGTTGAAAGTGATGGACATTTACGCAGTGGACGATCGCATCAATGCGATGGCCAACTACCGTCCGGATGAAGAGGACGACTATTAAGGCCCTATGTTCCCTTTTTTACGTGTTGGATTCCTTTTTGCATTTTATAAGAATCTGCGTAGCACAGCTTTTACGTAATTAGTTAGCACACACGTATAATCATGTACTAGTCTTTTTTTTTCAAGGTGTTGGATTGGGACAAGCTACTGTGGTCGTTGAGTTTCGTGATTATCGACCTTTGAGCTGAGATGGAGCGTTTATCACTTATAATTTAAGCAAAACTTGGCAGTTTGTGCAGGTTAAAATGAAGTATCCCATACATTCTCAAGGAAGCGTCGGAGCCTGAAAATCATAAGATGTCTTTATTATGTAATTTGTCCTAAAGCCAACATTTTGCCTCTGGAGGCATGGGTAAGTTGTTCTGGTAGCTCCTCCTGATCACTTGACGCCAAACAGCCCATGTTCTGCTTCACCAACTCCGAGAGCTAAACGTAAATGGGATGTTCTTATTTGCTACGGTATCTGGCTGCACCAACCTGATCTGCTTTGGTAGCGGTAGCTTCATATTCACAAATGCGCAGCATAGTCCTTCCTCATGTGTGGGGTGGAAGTGAAATAGGCAGTGGCCGTGTGGTGGGACAATGTTTGATGGTCAGTACTTAGTGGTTGAGTGAGTGGCAAAATTTATTCGTCCTACCTACGCTAGGTGCCAAACCCTTGTCCACTGTTTTCCACACCCAGATCTCCTCCCTCCATCATTGTTATCATTATTGGCGTCATTGAGCAATCAGAGATTCGGTAGACGTGATGTCAATTCACGCCAACTCTTCTACCCCTCTCTCCGCTACATCATTGCCAGGATCACAAGCTTGGACTTTCGGAAGTACGTGTGGGTGGCACTCTTTGGTACTGCGTCTTTTCATCCACTGTGTGCAAAAGTGTTGGTGCGGTAGCCACAACTCTGCAACCCCAGTTGAAGCCAGTTTGTCAAGCACACAAGATGAGTCCAGTCACGTGAGATCAGACCGACGTGTAGATGAGGTGTGGGCTGGAAGCCAAAGGCGATGGAGAGGGCATGGTGAGGAGCGCTGTGCTGATACTGATGACGGACTGATGAATAAAAGTCAGTGCTACATGGTGGACGCCTGTGAACAGTTACTTGCAACTGACAAGTCCACACAAGTTTCCAAGGCATGGCATTCTCATGTTGTGTCTGCTTAATGAAGGCACAACATTCATACATGAACGATCGACGGCCGCATTTCTGGGAGCCATGTGGTGTTTACGCTTACGTTTATCACATGTTAGTACAAAGGGAGTTGTTTACTTTCTGTATGGTTTGAAATGAGCACAGAAGCACGGAAGAGGTATTTCATCAACTCAGTTGTTTGGATTGGATGATGCATCATCCGTACCTCGATGATTTTATCAACTGCCTAAGTGCCCATTAGTTTGGGTTGACTCTACCCTTGGGGTAGCACTGGTGTTTTAGGTGCGCGGCTCTGTTGAACTACGAATGGCAGTTTTGGCAACAGTTGTAAAAGAATAGCCTTACGACAGTGCGAAGTTAAGTGCGTGACGACTTCTTGGACGTTCTACCTTCCGAAAGATCATTCGGTACTGTAGCGCCTTGATTCACTTCATTTCCTTATAGGAGGATGAGCTGTTATGCTCACAGGTGAAGTAACTTCAGCGGATAAGATACTTGCCAAAGTAACCATCTCCATTTGTCTTTTCGAATAATTCTTGCACTTGATCATCAACGGCGAAATTAACATAAACTTGATTTATAAACTAGAAAAGAGGAATAGTAGTTTTGCGAGTTTATTTACTTTCACGCGCTTGTCCCAAAGATTACTATCAAATATCGTTGAATCTGGGCTGACAGCCGGAAATGGTGATAACCAAAGCACAAATTAGCTTCGATCCTGTCCAGTTGGGACTCGAGGTTTTTTCAAATCCTAAAGTGTCCTCGGGTAGAGCCAATAAACTAGGTGACCTACAATTCCCTCCCCGGAGCACCATGCCCACATTCAGAGGGAGTAAGGTGGATGATAACTTCTCACTCTTCCACACACTACGCTTCATCCACTCGTTTATTTATTTGACGACCAAGTTTTCATTTACTCTGAACGAATCCTTGTTATTTTTTTGTGAAAGGAAAAGTATATATGAATGTACTAGACCATTTCGCATTATTTATTTGACGCTAGGGGGAGGGAGAGGAGCCAAAAGTAACATTCTTGAGTGTGTGCGTCCTGCATTCCATCGATCGTGAGGGTCAAATCACGTGAATTACTGGGTCGGTGAAACGAGGCGGGTGGGCAACCGATCAGGCTGGGAAGAGCATCTCTAGTTTAACCCAATCATCATGCTTAATGAGGGCATTTGGTCGCACGAACTGAACAGACTTAACGACTGTCGATCGCCATGCTCAACCAGTTGTACAGGCAGCCGTGAGTCACCGGCGTTTTACCTATCCTCTATTAATACAAAGTATTTGAAATAAGCGTTTAGGAGAATTTCACGATGCGAATAAAATGTTTTTACCATTGTTTAGAAGAGTAGAACAAAACTGGCTCATAGTGAGGTGGGGGAGGTGTCATGTCAACTGTTCTAACATCGTGAGTGATTGAAATAGATGGTATATCAGAGGCAATTGTGATTACGGTTACTTTTTGGTGCACTATGATACTATCGCCACAAGTGTCGGGACTTTTGAGGGTAAATCCAAGCGGACGAAAATGAAGATATTTGGCAGCTTTCTGATTGCTGCATCCAAAGAAGTGTTAAATGCAGCCCTGTAGAATCTTGCCAAGCAGCAGTGATTTGCATTTCCTTTGTTTGGCTTTAAGCGATGAAGTAAAGTGAGATAAGTCGACCATTGGAATTGCTGAGAGCAATCATGAGGTACCGCGGTATACTACTTGTTAACACGTAGTAGTCGAAATCGCAATTTTTCCTCTAGTGTGATGATCAGTAAAATTGGATTTGAATTTTTTTTGTAGCATAGTCACCACAATAAGCTCTGTTGTCCTCGAGTCTTAACATTTGAAATTGTGCACTACGCTTGCGGATAATTCCTTTTGAAATAGTATTAGAGGTTGTTCGTTGCCGCAACATCTCGAAAACTCGTGTGGACTTGTCAGTTGCAAGTAACTGTTCACAGGCGCCCACCATGTAGCATTGACTTTTATTCATCAGTCCGTCATCAGTATCAGCACAGCGCTCCCCACCATGCCCTCTCCATCGCCTTTGGCTTCCAGCCCACACCTCATCTACACGTCGGTCTGATCTCACGTGACTGGACTCATCTTGTGTGCTTGACAAACTGGCTTCAACTGGGGTTGCAGAGTTGTGGCTACCGCACCAACACTTTTGCACACAGTGGATGAAAAGACGCAGTACCAAAGAGTGCCACCCACACGTACTTCCGAAAGTCCAAGCTTGTGATCCTGGCAATGATGTAGCGGAGAGAGGGGTAGAAGAGTTGGCGTGAATTGACATCACGTCTACCGAATCTCTGATTGCTCAATGACGCCAATAATGATAACAATGATGGAGGGAGGAGATCTGGGTGTGGAAAACAGTGGACAAGGGTTTGGCACCTAGCGTAGGTAGGACGAATAAATTTTGCCACTCACTCAACCACTAAGTACTGACCATCAAACATTGTCCCACCACACGGCCACTGCCTATTTCACTTCCACCCCACACATGAGCAAATGTGAAACTTTGTATGGTGAGAGATTGAAAATCACGTTAATGTGTGGCACTCTTTCACTGTGGATTCCTAATCGCAAATGCGACTTCACGCCATCCACTTACTACGATGGGACGCGATTAAAGCGTGTGTACAAAAACTGGATTATCAGCTACCGGTTTCCTCGTTTTAGATTAATACTGATTTCAACAGTTGGCGTTCGAATCCAGTGAGAGCCTAACAGTATTCCTCTGAAATCATTTTCTTATGTCAGCCTCCAAAATCATATCCTTTTATATTAAGTGAGGAAATAACTTTGGCCTTGAGTGGTGTTCTTTGACCTTTAACCTTTGCTGTGATGCGCCGATTATTTTTAACCTCTTTAGGTTTTTGATTGATTCCAGCAAGATACACCCAGCGTTCTCGGAGTGTTCCACATCAAAGCAACAGATCGGCATCTCTGATAGCCGCCTTAAACGCCCAATCCCGTGCCTCAAATGCCACTTCGGTCCGTCTACTCCATCCACCACCAAGACCGGCTTCAGCACTACCTCGTCTTACCTCTCACTATCGAGGCCGAGCCAGTCCACGCTATCGCTGCAAATGTCGGAACAGCAGTAGAGGTCGCATCACTAACTGTCACCGGTGTAATGCTCGCACTGCCTTTTTAATTCCACGAAGGCATGAATACCTTCAGATGCCTTTGGAGCCTCGGCTTCAGCGAGAAGTTAATAAGAAGTATTCAAAGCTCATTACAGAGTCCGCTAAACGCCTGGTTTCTGCCCACCAACCACTTGAATTTTGAGTTTTTTATGTGCCATGTATTCCATTCACTTCCTATTCTTTGATTACTGCTCTAGTAATAATAGATTTTCTTTATCTTGTCTGGTTTTTCTAATGGCGTGGAGAATGCACATCGGAATATGTGTAAGCATGCGGGTTATCTACGGTCACCAAGTCCCTGTGATAGCCTATCATTGCTGGAATTGCAGATATTACAAGACTAAGAGATGTGGAGGCTCCCAATACTCTTTCTTTGGTCCTTCGTTCGCCCTAAAGCACACATATTTCAATTTGTTAGGATAGGATGCAGCTGAAAGGGGTTTTGAAAATGTAACGTGAAACCTTTCAACAGTGCGAAATTTATCCTTGAATAAGGTTGGATTGGAAGCGCTCATTCAGACTGCAACTCATCGATATCGATCAAAGGTAACTCGTTTAACGTGAGAATGAGACGAAAAACGCCGAATATCGACATCGATTAGATACCACATGCGAGGTTAAGCTTAATTTGCATACGATGCCGCGTTAAAATTCGCCAACTTCCAGTAAAAGCAGGCGGAAATTAGGACGCGGTGTGTATTATCTACGACGCTACATTTTTTAAGTGATAAAATTACAATAGTGCACCTCGAACCTCCTCCTTCGGGGCAAGTGCTTGCCTGGCACAAGCCTTGTAGGACTACAGTAACTCCCGCACCATAGACTCAGGTCTATTCGAAATCAGTATCTTGCATAATGCATTTGTGCATCTTTACTCTTAAAATCCTCGAGTGTGCATTTGCCATTCATATAAATCTATACAATGGGCTTAGTCAACACAGTCGAATGTTCTCGACGCGGTGCATTTTGTGCTTCGAAAAGCCGTGTAGATGAGGGGTGTTGGAGAGCGGAACGAAAAAGACGCCGAAGTAGGTGTTCCGCGTTGAAAGGAATGTGATGTTAACGATATTCTGTTAGTGTTGCGTCTCTCTCGCAGGCTTTGCGAGTAGGCCAGGCGGCGTTGAGTGGCAGAAATAGCAGGAGGCCCCTGTGATAGAGCTGGTTTCGCAAAATTCATCCTCCGTCGTTGGCTATCCACTTGATCAGGCGTTGTAAAGTTGCCCAGTGCAGTAGGATGAGCAGTTGACTTTGTGCTAGTCTCTATCACACTGATTGGACGAGGCCGCATTGATCGCGAGGCATTCCTTCTTCTCACATCAGTTCTGGATAACAAAAGTGGCTCAACTCACAAATGCCACCCAAAATCCATGTAACAATAGGTAAGTACATGGTAAAATAAATACAAAACCTTGATAACTCCTAACGAGCTAAATTTATAGGTTTAATAATTAGTTCTGAACTTCTGATTGGTTGAACGTAAACCAATGAGGACTTAACATATGGCACTGGTAAAATACAGAAGCAAACGGTACCGATTGACACTCAGATCAATAGCAGTAGGCAAATGCGTAATCTTTACATTCTTTTGGGGTTTTTTTGCTGGTGCCATATGGCCAATAAATCACAAGAAGGTAAGGGGACCTACGGCGTCGTTTGCGATCCTCCACGATCCAACACCATTTTAATAGCATTTATACGTTGACGACTAAGGGACTTCGTCTGCGCAGTTTTCAGGTTGCCTTCCAGCCATGCATTATGCTGCTGTAGACGCTTAATCTCCTGGCAGAAAAATGCACATCGTTTTCCAACGCACTCGTCAACTTCCTCTGCCTCCTCGGGTTCCTGAACATCTGCAGGCAAGCCAAGAAGCATTTTTTGGAGGACTTAATTACTTTTACAAACTCATGCATAGGTTTAAAAGCAGTCTCCATTGATTAGGACAGAGGGTTTGGCCTAATCAAATCTTTTTAAATGAGATGAAAAGCCTTTTAAAGTTGAGTCCTAATTACATCTGACTATTGGAGGTGCAAAATCAGCATTAAAAATGAGGTCTTTTAACTCAGAGAGGTTGAAGGAAGCTGGCCCGATAATGGTTTTTTGCCTTTTCAAAAGAAATTTAAAATCACTTAGAAGCTTTCACGGGGAGCTACAATTCGAGTTCGACTAATAAAGGAAAAGGAGTAGGAAATGAAAACGGCGATTGTCAGATGCTCAAGATTTTTTCACACAAAAGCTCTCACTTAACTTCTACTAATTGTATTCAGTAGAGCACATTTTACATGCTCACCAAAGCTTGCCATAAGCCATTTGTAGACGCCTTGAGCACCTCTGAGGAGGTGCTGTCTGCCCAGTCGGTCGAGTTTGCGATTAATACACATCAACTTTTCCATATACTTTGTCTTTTCTGCCTCAAGTTCCCTCACTCTCTCCATTTGGAGATGTTTTTCTTCAGCATACTATGAAATTAAAAACGCCACTCGGTGATCACGTGACTGAAAAGTAACAGCATCTCCTCTCTTAAGGAGCAGAAAGTATCACAGTGCCTTCTTGTTTAGCGGTCTAGGCCAAGAGACCACTGTGACACCAATAACAACGGCTTTAAATAAAATAAATAAATAAAAGGCATGCTTTGCCCTCACCAATTCCTTCACTCGATTGAACTTCGTCTTTACGTTCTCCACCCTTAACTCTTGGCTAGCTAACACTTCCTGCGTCTTTCGGTCCAAATTTTCTGCGAATTCAAGCCTTATAAAAAGGAAGTTTAAGATTATATTTGAATTTGAATTTGGCATGTTAATGAGTAAATTGTGCGTTCTGATTGGTTAGGAAGTTAGTAGGTGTGGGTTAGCATACCGTTTACTAAGGGCGGAAAAACGGTGATTCAAATCGTCCAATTTTTGAAGTCGCTGAGAGAAACAGAGAGACAGCAGAATTGACAATTAAGGAAAAGTAAATTGTAAAAGTACTTAGAAAAGGCTATTTTTTATGAATTGCGGCATTTAATTTTCATATCTACTGGGCTCTCTCATGCACCAAAATATAGAGGAATCAGGTTCTAGTCTAGATTTAGGTGATACAAGTAGAAGACGTGTGGGGTACCAGACACAAGTCTCTTTTTATGAAGTTAAGGGAGCAGTAGGATTTTCAGAAAAGTGGCAACAGTTACGGCTATGGGAAAATCGAGAAGGAATAAGAAAACTGGGAAAATGTTGGACTAAGCTCTCAAGATATTTTTGGGTTGAAAGCAAGCATATTTAATTGAATGGTCTTGCAAAACTCATATTCAGCTTAAAAGTAGCGGCTGGTGGAAGAAGTAGGTCTCGAGGATCTTATAAGGTTGTGTTCCGTGCTCTAAAGTCACGGTTCCAAAATATGCCTAGCAGGAGAGCAACTCGCTTTCTGCATTAAAGACGGATACTTTGAGTACGGCCCAAGGGATAGACACCTCTCCGTGTGGCAAAAGGTCAGGACAATCATGCTGAATAGATGGACCGGTAACAAAGGAGGGGAGGAAGACTTACGGCCGATACTTCCGCTTCCACAGGACGAAGGCTCTTAACCATTTTGTATCGTTTCCGGATTTTCGATTTTATTTGGATGCAATTTTGCTCTGCTTCTGAGATTGCGTTTTCCATTTCTTTCCTCGAAAAAACGAAACTAGCGCGTAATGAAATAAATCCGAATGCCTTGGTCTTGACATTTTATCAAAAGAGGTACCGATTCCCTTTTTTAAAAGGCGGTAGTTTTATGGGTGCTTAAGAGTGCAGCCAACAAGTCTCACTCTTCATTCCTCATGGTTAATGGAAGGCGAAGCTTAAAAGACCATGTCAACAGTCCGTCAAACGAATTCAGAAGAAGGTCTCCATGTTCAAACTGATTACTTCTGATGTCAATTGGGATGTGAAGGGAAGCATTGGAAGCAAAGTTTACATTAGCATAGAAAAGGAAAAAGGTGTGTCTCCTTTACTGTCCATGTGTGTAAAACGTCGTGTTACTTTCTTTCACAGAGGGATTGTACATCTGTTTTGAAAGAGAATTCTAGTCTCCCAGTTCTTTGTGCTCATGTGTTGAGAAACCTTCTGGTTGATTTGTGAGAACTCTCGGACGATTAAAAAGGGTTTCAAATATATCGTCGACAATGTTGTGATGTCAACCGTATGTTCATTCTCTTATGTGCTTTAGTGCAAATTACCTCCTGCTCCAAATGCACTTTAGGTTACAACTCACTGAGATGCTTCAAGCTGCTGGCAAGCGAGAACAGGTTGTGCATCCAATTGACTGATTTCCTCCTTGATAGCACAAATCTTAGCCGCCAGAGTCTGAAGTTTCTGGTTTCTCTCTTCAATTGTCACTTCTCCACTGTCATCCGAACTCACCTTCATTCCATCCAAGTCACGTCGCTGCCAAAAAGCTCAGGCTTTAAAGCTACAGCAACACCTACCATGCTCTCTACTTGTTGTCGATAGTCTCGATAACTCTTCTTCTGAAATTCCATGCAAGTTGCGAGATCCTCGAGCAATGAGACCATTTTCATTTGAGCCTCTTGCTTCATAGAGCCGAGTTTTGTAGCCAGCGTCGAAGCCGTATTTTCGCAGTCCTTTAATTTCCTAAAAGAAGATCAAAATAAACAGCAAAGCATCAAATGGGAGTCCAGATTTCATTTAATCAGGATCATTTAGCGGTTTGGAAGGCCAATACTGCATTACAAATCGGAAAATAGTTCAAAAGTTGGAAGTAAAGCAAATTTTAGGAGGAAAGACATTGACAATACCAATGCAAAAAGTGCTTCCTCAACAATAGTTAATTGCTGAATTGCACGAGTGGGGCGTCGGCATTGGCACCATCACGCACATGCGCTGGCGTCAGGAGAGGCGAAAGCGGAAGGCGCGGTAGTGGTTAATCACTCCTTAGCCTGCAATTCCACCCCCTCTGTCCAGTAAGTTTACCCTTACTGGCAGTTAAGCTTAAGTGGCATCGCCTTGGCGGAGGGTCAACTGTCAGAATGTTATTTTGATTACTCTGGAGGGGAATTGTAAACCAATGAAACCACAACACCATTTCCGCTATCTGCATAGGCTTTGGGAACAGCAACATTACTTGAGACGAATGCCTTTACATCACAAGGCACTATTGTTTCCATCCTCTGGATGCTTCCTCTTTAAGAGCAGTCATCAAATATTCTAAGACGCCCTGATTCTTGGCCTTACACTCTGAATAATAAAAGTAAAATTCGATTGGTAGGAGACGAAAAATCACCAAAAGTGGCACAAATTTGCCAGGAATGGGACATCGCACTGATTATTCAGGTTGAAGACTTAACATTTAAATGTGATTATTCATTCGTGCCCTGAAAAAAAACATTTGACGGCTGTTTAGGCGCAAAAGAATCCAGTGTTGAAATGATTTTGCTCGACACTTTATCATCTATGATAAAGGAGACCACAAGTTGCAGCTGCCTGAAAACCAGTGATGGAGGCTAAGCAAAGTTGGCAAAGTTGGAGGCCTTACGGTTAAGGCACGACCATCTTCCCAACTGGGAGTCACATTAATTCCGCTTAAGATGCATATGCAGAGGGGAAGAAGGAAGAGTGATGCCGAGGGTGGGGCAAAGCTTAAAGCAGTCTGCAAGGCCTTTGCATAGAACCGTCTTAGCAGCAGAGAGAGGTGTGAAGCTGAGGAGTGCGTTTTACTTTAACTGATTTACCAGATTTATCCGAATCGTCAAGGAAAGAAAAGATGCAATTCTTGCGCACGTTCGCCAGATAAAATTTGCCCCAATTGGCGTTTGGGCTATGGAAACTAAGAAGTCTTATCGCTGGTGCTCGGACGGGCAGATGTAGCCCTCCTTTTTGTAACTGAAGTAGTTTGTGTCTATCAGTGCGGGATGGTCAAAAAGGATATCAAATGAGATTAACAAACGCCATATTTATTTACGCGACACTAGAGTACCTAATTTCCACTAAGCTTACGCAAAACACGCAGGGGCAAGAAGCTCAGTAGGTCAAGGAAGCCCTAGAGGCTTCGTCACGAACAACGACTACAAAAAAGGAGAACCTTTACTGCAATGGGTGGGAAGATGAATGAAAGTTTGGCATGTGTTGTGTGATTATACCCAGAATGCCCTTTGAAGCTTGATGGAAGTCAGCTATTAATAGACGAGGGTGACTTTTACTATGAATTTTTCTACCTCCTATCTGCCGCAGATGTGAAATGACCTTCTGGCGTCCGTTCATGTTGAACGCGCTCGCATTCGGTTTGGACAAATTCATCTCAAAATTTTATTATGTTATTCATGACATACGACCCCTTTCTTTTAAAACGGCAAGGTGTTCATTTAAATGACGCGTTTTCCTTTGACCTTTGCATAACGTGCGTCGACTTTATGAGCGGTTAACTAGTCGGTCTCACCCCTTCCTCGCGCAAGACAAGCAATTTGAATAGCGACTCCTTCAGCTTAGAGAACTAGAATGAGGAGAAAGCATATGCAAAAGATTAGCTTAACTAATACAAGGCTTGCGAGGAGAGCCACATGTTCGATTTGTGTATTGTTAGAGGTGGAAAAGGAGGCCAAGTAGATTGCTTTTGTTATGAACTGATGTCTGGATGGGTTTTATTTAAGAGTAAATCTTAAAGAAGGTTTCAGTGACTACATCAGGCCGTCCCTGTTTAATGGAAGAAAACAAGGGGCACAGCGAGTGCTCGAACGAGAGTCAGCAACGACCACTCTGTGATCTCCGTGCAGCAGATCTACAGCATTTAATTCGCCTTAGTGTTACAATAAGCACAGGTTTGCTGGAGGACGGTCAATCTTAAAAGAACTACAAGTGTCACCTTCTAGAATGTTTGGAAAGTGATCACATATGCGGGAACCTCTTGAAGACCGAGGCAGGAATGCTTCCTAAGTACTGTAGAAGTCGCCACAAGAATTGTAAAACCGTAGATGAATGTGATTTCGAGGTAAAACATAATTGGCACATAGTTGGTTTTTGTCCTCCTTCGGGGGGGGGGGAAGGGGGAGGGAGCATCATTTACCAAAATTCTTGAGAAGGAAGAGTAAAAATTATTTTATGCTTACTTCCTCCGTTCATCCAGACCAAAACGTAGAATCTTCAGACGAATTTTTAGGTCGGCCTCAGTTGTAAAAGGAACTTTTACTTCGGGTTGCTACAACAAACAGACGATGGAGCTGGAGACCTGTCATCAGTGTGTTGATCAGCAAGTAGTTAACCACTCTCTTTACCTTCGTTCCAGTCTTCTCCTCTATGCGGGCTGAAATTCGAGAAATTTCTGCATCTAAAAATTTGCAGACACGATTTTTTGATGCTAAAAGGCATTCTTGCAGGTGTTTCTGCTTTGATGGACTGTCGCAGGTCTACAAATAGGGTAAAAGGAGATTTCTGGTTAGAGTTGGAGATAGTCTGAGGCGTTGAAGAACCGTCTCTCCCAAAAGCAGTCGTGTCTCCTAGGCAGGAAGTGGATGCTTGACCAAGAAGAATTAAACTGTCTACAATGTACCAACATTTTTTCAGCATCATTTTACTCCTTTAGCCTTAGTAGCGAGCCATACATTTTCATCACAGTCCTAATTTAGTAAAAGGATTTGTTTCGTCCTTTTTGACTGACTTAACTTTACAAACGTGCGTTTTTACACAGATCCTATATAAACTTTGGTGAAAGTTTCAGGGACTTTCCACCACTACCACATCACCTTTGCCTGCATGGTTAACCAGTCAGTCTCTTTTCCCAATACTTAAAAATTATTTCTCCATATAATGCACTATCGAGGCGTCTATGAAACCTCAGAAAGCAAAATTAGTGTGCAACGACTCCATAAGTTCTGTCATTCCGAGAGAAGACCCGAAAAAAACCCAAAAGTTCATAAATCTTCAGCTTTACTGCTGATAGAGATAGAGATTAAAAAAAAACGATGATGATGAGGGGAGCAGTAAAGCTGAGGGTGGTAGAGTGAGTGGGTGAGTGTGACTGGTGCATCGGAGGCCTCAGTGTGCCCTTGTCAATCGCTATAACTTCCTTTATGACCAAAATAAAACCTCATCATAACAATGCAAATTTAGTTGGTTCATCATTCATCAGAAGGGTAAAGGTAGTAAAGTGTTGTTCCTACCTTGTCATTGAGAAATATTTACGAATGTGCATACACAGACGCGCACACATTAGCCGAATCCGAGGGCTCCAAGTTGGATGAACTCAGAGCCTTGGACAAGGAAACTGTAATGGCTTGTTTGAGTGAATAAGGGAACACGAGGGAAGGAAATTCCCTCTTTCTGCACAAAAGACATTTGGATTTATTTAGAGCTTGGATTCAAAGGTTGAAAACATATTTTGTTTACCACGTCCCTCTAGGCACGTATGAGAAAATGTAAAATTAAAAGAACATAAGATAGAAGGGCATAATGGGGAAATAAGAATTCACCGTAGCAGCCCCACACAAGCATGGGGAGACAACGTGGAGACCGAATGTGTCAGTTAACTCTGTGCATGTGTTTGTTTGTGTGCCTTTTAAGTACGCGGTGCTTCGAGGCCTGCCAGCAGCTTCCAGCCCTTCCTTACGTCAACAGTGCCGTGGAGTTATTACGACGCGGGGAACGACTCAGAAGCGTCATTTTACAACTAAAGCCCGTCGGTTGTGATGATGAAAGCCAATTTCTCAACGCCTCATCCCCCATCCACACAAAAATGACCGAAAAGGTGTTGAAATTGGCAGCTCTACTGGATTTAGTGCCACATACTATTAACGTTTGAATAAATGACTCAGCGCATCTGAGACATCATTTGGCACAATTCAGAATGGGAAATTTGGGAGAAAAATCAGCTGGAAATGGAGATTTGGCAGAACGTGTGTCCGTAGCGAGGGAGTGGAGTCTGCAAGTTGTCGGCACATCTCGCAACAAGGACTTGTTGCAACTTGTTGAGTCTTGGCAAGAACTGGCATTTTGTTAGATGCTTTGCTTTTAAAACGCAGACGTGTGACACTTTATTGGATCGGTAGGATGTGCTATCCCTGCCTATGACCTTCTCTCATTTCAGCCCACTGGAAAACCTGTCGCTTCTCGTTTCGTAGTAGTCTGCTTTAATAACGCAGAAAGAACGCATTCGCGTAACCTACCGTAATGTCCGTGGAGTTATGGTCAGAAAGGCCTCCAACTCTTGACTAGCAGACCAAATGACACGATGAGAGTCACACGTATGGTAGAACCAAGCTTGAATTCCCATCAAGCTGTCGTAACACTCCTTTCGATGAACTTTTGCTGAAATCACTTTATACAACTCACTTAATTTCCCATTGAAAGACCTGATAATTTCGTCCTTCAGAAGCACAAACGTGCTAAAATGCAGGCTTTCTGGATGGCAACCGGGATGCATTTACTCGGCGTAAATTGATTGGAAGTGGGAAGAGTTTCCTCCCAGAAATTGTTAAAATTTGGAGCTGATGCGCATATGAGAAGCAGGTTTACTTCCTAATGTTAAAGGATGATGCCCTTTAGAATGGAAGGAAGGAAGACCCTGTTCCACCTCACAAACATGGCTCCTCTATTATGTTTCTTCCCACGAAGACTAACACCAATTTTCTCATCAGTCGACAAGTCGAAAAAGAAACTTGACCAGTTTTCAAGAGGATATCCCTATTTGTTGAGCTCTCTGCGCTGTGACTGAGGTCCTGCAATGACGTCGCAAGGCTGTCATAATAAAAATTCTCATCTCGACCAAACATCGACATGTGTAGATACAGCGACAACGTTGCTTAGTCGGTTTATGAGCAAAAGCGGCCTCTACATCTAATTGTGTGGAGTCACCTGAGGCAAAGGTAGGGCAAGTTCTTGTGAAAGTAACCACACTGGACCCTACCTTCAACTACTCTTAATTAATTTGACGAAATTCTCCCAACGCAGGCCATTGTGATGAGTCGTCGGTGCAGAAAAGGGACTGGAGGTGTCAGACACTCAATGCAGTCCCTACTTTGAACCCACAAAGTCGATTAGTGAATAAAATTGACGGCTCAAACACAAATGCATGGATAGGCGAGTAAATCTCAGCAATTCCTTTCCCACCGCAAAAACGAAGATGAAAAATTCCATTCGATTTAACTTTAATTTTTCACTCAGCTTTCCATTCTGCATGGGATCATATGATTGCGTAGTCTCAGCAAGGGATTATGTGCTCTTGGAGAGTAAGAACAAACTATCACAAGGAGTGGAACGGAAGAGACAAATCG